GCCAAAAGGTTTCCCCTACCAGCCACCCACCCAAAGACCCCTACACCCCATGGTTGCGGCTTTATGTGGCCTTGCTTCTCTCCAATGAGGTTTCGTCTTTATCTGTTGGGCGGTAGGATCCATGGGACAGAGCGGCAACATACCTCAGACCGTGTCCACGCGAGCCTGTGTGTTCGCAGGTTTCTTGCACGCCCGGAGGGAGCGGGAGCATGGCATAGGTGTCCTTTTAGGGGAAATAGATGGCCCTGGTAGATGATTAAACCACCAGGTAAACCAGTGCCGTCTATTTTTCCACCAAAACAACAAAAAAGGACACCTATGGAGCTTCGTCAAAGGGGCGATTGGATCAACTTGGATGGCTCGCATGACCTGTGATGCTGAGTGGCAATCACTAGTGAAGACGGAACACTCCAATGACTTGCTGCTTCTCAGCAGAGAATGAGTTGGAATGCTGAGACAACACCAAGCCAATACTGAAGAGAATATTCAGCCAAGTTCGAGCGAAGGCTAAAATATATGGGCACTGCAAAATACGAACCCATGCTAAATGAAAACTAAACTCCCCTCAGTCGAAAGGCCAGTTGGTGCGGATGCACCTCGCTACCATATCAGTCACCCCTGCACTCGGCAAAAGGGGCAAAATGAGGGGCCCCGTTTGTCCGACCATCTCCGACCCTTCAACCTGTCTTTGGACCCCGGAAAGCACAACGTTTCATCTGAAGGTCAAAAACCAAGTTTGGGGTTGGACAAAAGGAACGGATTCCTGTCCATACAGCAGGGATCCTTACGTTATACCCTTGTAAATGGTGGGTTCAACCTTTATTTTGGTGTTGAAAAAGCCATGTTTCAAATGGTTGCAAAATGTATCTTTTAAGGAGCCCTGTACAGAGTGCCGTGTTTATTGAAAGGTCAGGCAGTGCCCCTACTCACTGAACGGCAAAGCCTGGATGGTTGGGAATCTTTGTCGAGCGTAAGGCGACCCAAAAACTACATCGACCGGGGTCTAAGCTGTATCAGGGACCCTGTGGGTGGACAAAATCCATTTCGCACCACTTTGAAACCATGGTTGAAGCCATTGTTTGTTGGAATTTACACGGGAATCGAGTCAGAAACCAGGGTTTCTGAACGGTGGTGCCTAAGAGGATTTCGTCCATCCACAGAATCAACTTTCGGGAGGGCTGGCTCTCGGTTGGTAGGGTCCCCAACCTATAGGTCCTCGGTTGTGCGGACCAGTCCAGCAACCTCCCCATTGGTGCATAGAGGCGGCGCATGCCATCATCACAGCGCGCCACGTCACACAGAGGTCTGCCAACGGTTTTTTTGCCTTGGTCGAAATCGACATGGTGCCTTGATGATTCTAAAGGTTGATTCCTTGTCCATTCTGTTCAACCATCGTTCTTTTCAAGAATCGGCTGTTTCCCCTGTTGTTGTTGTTTTTGTTGTTGTTTTTCCTAAAAGACATATTTTTTGGAAAGAATGGGAGAAGGTACCCCTAGAATGATGCGAAGTTCGGTGAAAGCAAGCAACTCACAAGCCTCCTCCATGTTGGTTTAGGCATATCTCATGACTCACCCGCAGGACCCGTTTCTCAAAGGTAGGGGACCCCTTCTTGGATGTTTCAGGGAAACCAAAAGGCAACCACCTACCTGGGGTCCCAATTCTGAGAAACACCCACATTTCGTGGGATGCCATCTACTTTCACCCAGATAGCCCCCTTGCCTCTTCGCATCCCCCCTACCAGAAGAGGGAGGGGGAAAAGAGTCCCCCAATTCCATTTATCTACTTGTCCGCATCGGGAAAAATGGGTCACCATAAATGGAGATCTCCAAGGGTCGTCACCCTCCCCCAATTCCATATCTAAACTGGTTGGGGATCCCTTCGCCCTGCAACTCGCCAGGCTGGCTGTTGTCGAAGGTCAGCCAGTTCTTCGTCCAAGCAGCTCCACCGGCCATGCCTCAAGTACAAGGCCGAGGGATTCTTGTGCACAGAAACTCACTTCCGATCGAGTGGACTGGTCCTAAAGAGTCGCAACCAACTTGTTGTTTACCACTAAATCTCACTTGCCCAAAGGACCTGCAAATAAAAGGGTAACCTTTTGGGACCTCTACTAAAAATAGACCACAATGGGACAACCAAAAGGTCAGATCCGGTCGATTCGCTTTGAGCAACTGAGAAAATGATCCAAACCCAAGTGACGCAAGCCCAGGAACTCTGGGAGTGACAGTTGTGGTGACCAAAAACCAAACCAAACGGTTGGGTGACCAAAATCAAAGACTGGCAGAAACACATATATGTTGGTTTTTGGTTTTTGGTTTTTGGTTTTTTTGGTTTTTTGGTTAAAAAAAAAAGAACAGCTGCAGGGCTATGTTTTGGAACCTCCAAAGTACCTGAAGTGCCCGGTGAAGCTAGATCAAACAGGCGAACCATGTCCTCAAAGAACCTCTCGGCAAAATCACCTATCGGAAAGGGCAAAAAGTGACATCCACATCAGCTGCAACCGACGCAATTGCGCTCCACCTATGTTTCAAGCAGAACAAATGGGCGTCTCATCACTGTAAAGGAAACCCAAGAAGAAAACCCACCCATTTTGGGTTGACACATCACGTACGGCCTGCCCGGGCAGGCAAAAAAAGAGAGCGTCCGCAACGATATGTGGTTGGGAAAATGTCCCTGACATTCATCAACCTAGGTTCTAGTTCTGCCTCATTTGAGAAGCAAAGCGTGTACGTCGCTGTTCAAAACAGCTGTCATCACCAAGCGGCGGCTGGCTTGTGGCTTTGTCTACAAACCCCCCAGCGAAGAAATCCTCCCATGGAAATTTCCAGGGGTCCCCCTCCCCCCAATTCCAGTTTTACCTGGGTGTGGATCCTCCCTGGAAAATTCGTGTAAGGCCCTCAGCCCGGCTCCTTCGGAAGGAACCCCCGTCTCAACGGCTGTGGGAAATGGAAGCCACGAATCTGTGATACAACAAAAAGGGCTTCCCAAAGACGTCCAACCCCCCACATAAAAATTTTAATAATAATAATAAAAAAAACAACGGGAGATTCCCAAAAGTATCACAGAAGTGGTTGGAAAAACCCCCGAGTGATCCACCACAACCCTGTGCCAGAGGTTTCGACTTTTCACATGGACCCAAAGGTTCAACCCCCACTACGATGGCTGGCCCATGGTTTTTTTCCCCCGACTTTTGACGTGGGAAAACCCGGGCGGTTCCATGTGGTTGTCGAAAAAGGGAAACCTCCAAACAAAGGGAAACCCCCTCGAAAAGGGAAACACCAACAAACTATCGAAAAGACAAAGCCATATGGATGTGTCTTTTTTTGAGCGACCGCCAAAATGGTGTTGGTTTTCCTGTTGGTTTCCCTTTTGAACCGCCAAAGAAAAGGACAACCCTGTACTGTGGATGAACGAAATCCATTTGGCACCACCTAAGGTCTGGAATGTTTCGATTCCCTTCCAAATACCAAACAACGTTCTGGTTTCAACCATGGTTTCATTTCGTGGTGCAAAATAGATTACGACCATCCACCTTCACGACCCCCTTGGTGGAAATGATGTCGTCATTGGAACCGGCAAAAGAACTGGACCTGAGGCGTCCCGCCGATCTTGGGCTTGTTGTCCTGGCGTCGCATCGACCCAAGGCGAGTTTTCTCGAGCGCTACTTCTAGCGGCACAGAAATGGGTCTGGATTTTTTGTCGGGGCAGGGGCGGGGGAAGGGGGTGTGCCCCCTCTTTTTCGTGGTTTTGAAGGGAAACCAAAAAAGGAGAACCGAAAATCGCCATTTTGGGCATGGGTGTCCTTTTAGGGAAAATAGATGGATTTCCCTGGTAGATGATGAAACCACCAGGTAAACCAGTGCCATCGATTTTTCGACCAAAACAACCAAAAAGGACACCTATGATTTTGGGGGGAATCTTGCTCCGGGGGCTTGGCAAACCTTGGCAAACGGCTTCCAGCGGAAGCGCATCTTGGAATTCAATGATTCAAAGGACACCAAGAAACACAAACTGCCATGTGAGGGCTCCCCCTATGTCAAGACACATACCCAAATACATGCAACCCGTGCGTGCCTGTTTCCGCGTTTCTGCGGCGACCCGGTGACGCAAGCGCGGGCTCCGGAGAGAACGCGACCGACCAACATCGCCCCCCCCCCCCCCACGCCTTGCGGGCGACGCAGGTGCTCTTGGTGTACTTGGACGCTGCCTGGAGGTGAGCAACAACTTCGTGAAGCACCTTTACTGAAAATTAAACAGAGCGAGAGCTCTCACAAGAAAGAAGCGAGGCACTATGGTTTGACCCCAAACACACACACACGCATACGTATATATATATATGTATACATACATACGTTATATATATATATATATATGTGTGTGGAAATGCTTCTCGGAGCTGGTGCCCTTCTTGGGAGCGAGGTGTTGACTTTTGGCAAAACCAAAACTTTCCCACACAGTTTTGTTTTTTGCGCCTTATAAATGCCTGCTCTGCCTCGATTTGTTCCTTATTGTCTCCACTTAAACTACAGAATTTGAAAAAATACTTTTTGCATACAATTACTAGACACACGCAAAAAGTATGGGTTGTTGCTAACTTTTAACAATTTGTGTCATGCAAATCCAAAACGGAATCCGCTTTGCTCTAAACGTTGTTCTTGTCAGGGAAAAATAGCACTGTGTTTGTTCACATGGTTTGAGGCATGTACTACAGAGGTAGTTCATGGGGGGGGGCATATATATATATATATATGTTCATTCTATAAACATACACGTAGGCATGCTATAGATCTGCGACCTGGACGGCTCGCTGGGCATCCCTGCAGCATCGGTGTAGCCGAAGGGGCAGGCGCCGCTGCGCTCCTTCGCTTGAACTAACATGCTTCGATTTTTGGTGTGGCGAAAGGTGCTCAGAGTTTGAGGGGCGAACAGACACTTCACCCTAGTTCCCGGAGTTGGGACAAACAGCTGGCGACGGCTGAATATCATCAGGGGACCGGAGGTTTTAGTCCAAGTCTCCATGGGCAACTCATTTTGGGGTTACCCTATTTTTGACTCACAGCCATATGGGGTTGCGGGGGTAGACCAAGTGGTCTTGATTTCTGCGAAATCATTCTAGGGGCCTTCCCCATTCTTTCCAAGGATCCTTCTTTCTAGAAAACCTCCAGAGGTAAAACGGCTGGTTTTTGAAAAGAGCAAGGGTTGAAAAGAATGGGGAATCAAGCCCTAGAATTATGGACCAATGGAGAGCGTTTCCCCGGAGGCTCCCCAAACCTCACTGTGGAAACGGATCTATGGCCCCTCCCCTTGTAACCACGGCAACTGGCGTGCCTTGAAAACGATTCCACAGAGGCATGAGGATTGGAGGGGATGACTGGCGAAGGGTTCCCCTCCATATGTCTTCAGATTCAGTTTCTGATCTAGACCGGAGGAGTCTGCTCCAAAAATAACCGGAAGTAAATGAACAGAGAAGAAACATCTCTACTCTTTGTATGGTAGCGAACAACTCTGTTTTTTGCAGGCCCCCAGTAAAAATGAACAGAACCAAAAAGCAAAAAAAAAAAAAAAAACGCCAAGAAACGAGAAGAAAATATATCTGTACCTGCCGGTTGGCACTGCCCTCCGACCCTTCAATGAAAAAGAATCCTTCCGTCCAGTTGCTTGGCACTTTGAGGCTACCACATGAGGCTGTGTGACGTTTTTTTCGCGGCCCCTTGGTGGAAGTCATTCGGGAGATTCTCCACCGCCCATTTGAGGAAATAACCAAGCGTTTGAGCACTCAACACACCAAGAAAGGTTCCTGGGTTTGTCTTTTGCGATATAGACCCCATGACGGGGTTTCAAAGCGAAACCCAATGCACGACAACTAAAGCAACTGTTTGGGCGGGTTGTGTGTGTGTGTGTGGGTTGCCTTGTTTCCCAAAAACGACCCTTCAAAATGGAAGGGCTGAAGCTTTCAATGGCACGCGCCATTGCACCCGGAGTGAAGCCCTGAGCTTCTCCAGAAAATGCAGCAGCGTGGTAACCTCTCCGTGGAGGAGGAAGTTCCCAAGCCTGAAGAACTGTTGCCCAAACAGTCCTGGTGCTTGAGGGGAGGTGGTAGAATCCCTTTCAACATCACCGCAAAGAAGCTCCTGGAAGAAAAGAAAAGAACGGTATTCTCCACCAGTGGTAAGTTGAAAAAAACATATATGTTTAAGTATATTTGCTTAAAGCTGCAATAACACTATATGGACCCCTGTTCATCTTGGGTGCCAACGTCCAACGTCAGGTAAGTAGGTTATAACCATAGTAAGACATCGGTGGGCTCGAATGAGATGAACCCCCCCAAAACCAAGACAGAAAGGTCATTTTCCTGTTTTCTTCGGGACCTCCCCGGATCTTCGAGCTATGTTCCCCCCATACATTTTTTTCGGCTCGCGCAAAACCCCCCCAAAAAGATATTCCCCAGCATCGCGCGAGGGAAGGCGCGACGGAAGGCGCGAGAGGAAGGGCGCGCGAGAGGGAGAGAGACATCTCCTTGAAGACGCGGCCGATGGTGTGAGCGCCCGAGATGGCCACGATCTCTTGGTCCGTGAAGCCTCAGCCACCGACAAAATTCCCAAAAACCCATAGGGACGGCTGTGGTGGTCAAAACCGTTGTGGGATCCCATTTTGGGGTAGGTGCATTCATCACCCCGTTTTAGAACCTATTTTAGTGGTTGGATTGAATCGGATGTTCACTGGGGGTACGATTTGGGCTTTGACAGAAAGCCACCGAGTCTTCATCTTTGACTTCCAGAGCTTTGCCACCGCCTTTTTCGGGCCATGCGATCCGATGGACAGCAGCTCGCGCCTGAACTCGAAGTTACATACATATATATATATATATGTGATATGTCGCGAAGCGAGGGCTCGCTGGAAGACCTCCCCTTTTGGTTTGGAACCAAAAACGACCACTCCAGCACTAAGTCCGTTTTTTCAAGCTTGATCCAACTGGCTGGTTTAAACTCCCGGTTTGGGTTCGTTCTGGAGCCACCCCTCGAAAACGCCTCATGGCAACCAGGTTCTACATGGCTCTGGCTTGCTATATACTGCAATGGCTAGCCTGGAAGCACTGGGTACCCAATACGACATCATTTTGGAAAGCCTCAAAACATCAGTTCCGCCTTGATCCAGTATGGAAATTCCAGCCACAACTCCGAATTTCCCACCTTAGGTGAAGGATCTCCCAAACGGAGTTCAAATTGGAACTCCTGACTTCATGTTTAGGGAATCGAGCTCTCCAGTTTTGTTTCCGGGCGCTTCACTAGTTTCCTCCGTGTCACTGTACCTCGTGAACTAATCGTCCCAACTGCGCTCCAACCACACCCCCTTGACAGGTTAGCTTTCAAGGACGTTATACGTGGGTGGCCCCCGTCGTTTTGACTTGGCGCCCCTTCTTTTGCCGGTTTTAAGGGACGGCCGTTGCGGAAAAACCGCTGCGGGATCCGCTTCCACGACGCGAAAATGTTGGTTTTTCAAACCTGCCTGCGCCGACTGATCAGTCGGATCTGGACGCATGGGTGCATGTGGCCATGACGCTCCCCGGCTAAAAGTGAATAACCTTTAGTGGTTTTAATACGGACAACCCAATTGGCAAAAAGTGATTCAGTCCTAACATGCCTTGGCAAAATGCACCAAAGAAAACAAAGCTCCACCACAAACTGCCATCTCCACTGTTCAATCGCGGCTGAGAAGCGCAAGACCCTTTTCTCCCGGCCTGAATTGGGGGGGTTCCCCCACCCAATTTGGCGTGCCTTCTTTTTGTTGCTAGCCTTTGGGTTGCTCAAATCGGAAGTCAAATGAAACCCTTTGCTTGTTCGCCCCCTGGAAAAAAATTGAGGAACTATGTCCAGTAGTGATAGATTCCCTTCAAAACCAGAAAGGGAACTTGTGTACCACAAACTTCTTTTGTACCACTAATATGGTCTTCCCAGAAAGCCTTGTCCAGGAACTCAGGAAGTGAGTACCTGGAAGCCAAAGGAAACCTTTGGCTGGTTCAGGGCGCGGCCCATCTTCTTGCCGAAGACGTTCCGCAGATGCTCCGGCGCAGAGCTGGCCTCGGCGGGCCGGCGCTTGCCGCCGTGGGAGGAAGGGAAATGGGCGGTTTGGACGTCTGTGGCGTTCATCAGTCTGATCTCTGTAGCACATTCATCGTTGGTGTTCCCTACTAGAGATTTGAGAGGTTAGAATAAGGGTACCATTTTTCTGTTTTGTCTATTTAGTAGGGGAACCCTCCCCAAAAAAAGTTGGTAAAAGGGCACTACTGGGGGACCTAGCCTAATAGCTGGAAGCTACGGGGTCTCTGCCAAGCTCCCAGTGGGGTTCGGAGCGGCTGCACGCTAGGGTTCCAGAAAGTTTCCGGGTTGCTGTTGGGGATACCACTTGACACTAGTTCTTCCCTGAAGGACATAGGAAATCTGTGGGTCTGAGCTGAATCTGGTCTCCTTGGCATGGTTTTTTCAAGCGCCAGCTATGGGGTCAATGCATCAATCCTGGCTTTGGTTGGGTTTTGCGTGTCAGGGTTTCCGGGAGGCTCCATGACCAGAGCCAATGGCTCTGAATCAGCAGCGGGGGGAGATAAAAAAAAAAAAAGAGGATGGAATTGCGGGATGCGTCAAAGCCAAAGCCAGACTTACTCATAGGAGTGCAAGATTGGATAGCCAAATGGCGTCCCCATCACTTCTTGTTGTTCTTAATATTGACTGGCTCCCCCTTCCCGGTGACTGGTACTATACTTAATCCGTTCCCCTTTTTAAAAAATGCATCCTGTCAACAAAATGCTATTTTTCCCAGACCGCGTCCCCAATACTTTAAGAATAGGCAAATTCAATACTAAACTTGCGGATGTCTCGCCCAGGACCCAGCTCCTAGGACCAACCCAACACAAAATTTTCTAAATGCATACTTGCCTTTTGCTAATCTACATGTACTAGGTCCTCCAGATTTGAGAGGTCAGAATAAGGGTACCTGATCTCTGTAGTCTATTTTAGTAGGGGACCCCTCCCGCAAAAAAGGGTAAAAGGGCACTACTGGGGGACCTAGTGTATTTCTTCAACTGTAATTCTAAATTTCATCTGCGCCCGCTATTTTTGAACCGCGAAAAAAAAAAAAAAAAAAAAAAAAACTTAAGCGGTTAAATTTAAACTCGTTGCTCGGAAAATGAGACGCGATCCGGAGAAGCTGGTAAAGAATGTGATTCGCGCGCGCGAATCTCGAATCCTGAATCGCTGGGCCGTCCTAGTCCCGAATCCCGAATCCGAAATCTCGGGCGACCCCAAAGGATCCTATTAGCCTGATATACTATTGGGGGGGGGGAGGAGGGGGGGAGGGGGGAGGAAGGGGGAGGGAGGGCGTGGGGGGAGGGAGGGAGCCAGTAGATATGCATCCGTTCCACCTACTGAACCCACACGCCGATTTTTTCGGCCAAGCCACGCCGCAGCCGAAGGGCGGCTTGGCGTCGGGCAGCCCCGCGTTGCCCCCGAAGCCCTGGCTCCGACTTTCAGCTCGGGCGACGAACGGTTCCGCATGGGTAAGCCATGCAAAATGCTGGGCATGTGGGTGTGGCTCAAAATTAAACACGGGGGGTTACGCAGGTGTTGGTCCATATTTCCACTTGCCAGGGTTCCATTTTGGTACCGTTTTTTTGAGCCAGAGCCATGTCACCCGAGATCACCGTTCATACTATTGTAAGAAGGGTGTACCAAAGACCTGGCTGCAATGTTTGGCATTTGCATCTTCGAGTTCGCTGATGCCTCCCTGATCGGGTGGCTCGTCGCTTTTTCATCGGGCGACATGGCGATCCCAGGGTCTGCTTTTGGCTTCCCTTGAAAAACCAAACCCGCAGAGGGTACCTCAAGGAATCGTTGGGTGGACCTCCTTTTTGGAGTTCATGGGAGCTGGGGGGGGGGGCGGAGGGAAGGGGGGGGAGCTTTTCAAGCGTGAAACCCACCAATGGGTGCCTTTAAAAGCAACATGTATAGTCTTCCAGGGACCCCTCAGTCAGGATCCATCAAAATGGATGGGAGAGTACCTCTTTTTGGAGTGGGTTTGACCCACTTCGGATCGAAGGCATTGGCCAGAAGAGAGTCGCCGAACTTGTTGTTTACCACCAAAGTGGTCTTCGCAAAAAGTAAAATGTGCGTAAACTCAGGGAGTGAGTTGAAGGAAAACCAAAAGGACAACCGCTTCGCTCTTTAAGGTTGGTTGAAAGGACAAAATCTGAAGTGGACCACCATGTTTCTGACACATCCCCTGTCAACCTGCTTAAATAGCCTATAACCCAGGTGGTTCGCAAACTGGACCTAAGGATTCGTTGAGTAAGTGGACCTTGACCATGGGCCGATTGGTAAACTCGCTGGGAGTTTTGCAGTAGGATTGTTTCCACCACCACCACTACCCAGGCTTGACCCTTCACCAGGCATCCTATGCCCCTCTCTTGCCAGGGAAGCGACGGATTGAGAAGAGTTGAAGCCCGGGCAAGCCAGAGCAACAGGGTCTGCGGGTCCCTTCAAAAACCGGCGATGCGATGCCTGACCAGTCCCGGAAACCATGGATCGGTCACCATACACCCATATTGAGTTACATCTATCGTCTATGTACTGCTCTTTGCATATTCTTTGTGCACAAAATGCGGAACAAACATGTACTACTAACGAGGCGCGCGCACAAACGAGCAACCGGAATTGGAAAGAGGGAAGAACCCCATTCGCTTCTTGCATTTGGTCAAGGCTTCACGAATGTACCAGTCACGGACATGTCTCCTTCCGGTGGGGGCAGCTTGGTTGCTAATGACCCCCGCCACAAAAGGTTTAACTTTTTGGGTTTAGTGGAAACCCCCTTGATTTCAACCAAAAAGTCAAAGTCTAAAGATCCGTTACCCAATAGCAGTCAAGGCAGGGGGCAGGGGGTGGGGGGGGGAGATGGCGTTTGTCCGGCGAGTCCCGCCTCACGGGACTTGGGGCCGACACACTCGCTGGGGGAGGTCACCGAAACGCGGCCGTACCTGCCGGTCTGAACACAACGCGTCACGCGTTGAACTCCTCGGGAGTCGCCCAAAACAAAGACAGGGGTGGTGTTCTTCTTCGAGAACCCTTCTTGGGGGGTGGTTCAAAAGGAAACCACCATTTGATTTCTCTATTATTATTATTTAAAAAAAGTTTGGGGTGGTCCCCTAAAAAAACGCATGGCTGCAGCAAATATTGGATTTGAAGCTTCAAAACCGCCTAGTAGATGAAACACATTGGGCCAGAGCTTAATTAGTCACTTGGAGTGAAACATTTCACCCTGACTGATTCTGCCTGAAAAGCGAAGGCAAAAAGTCTTCAGTCTGCAATTCGAAAACATCAATGGAGTCCACTGGTACTCTTGTGTGTCTTGTTTGAGTCTTCGTTGTTAAAAACGAAAAGCGGATTTTAACACCAATGTGAAAAGGACCTGACATGGTTTGAAGGGAAGTCTCCTTTGGAGGTGAAGGAGGATGGTTCGTGTTGGCCTCTAATTCAAATGACTCCGCTCGACTTTGATCCGAGATCCCGTGTCAGGGTGGGATCTGGTTTCTCCCCCAGGAGAAATTTGCGAAAGGAACCCAAGCAAACTGACCATTCGGGTTGGTGCGTGTAGCCTTGTCCTAGTTGTCCGTTTAGAATATTACCTTTCGTCGAAGATCGACGGTCAAACAAAGGTCGCCAGTTGTGAAGATTCGAATCTCCTTTTGAGCTCGTCGGACATCCATAGTATGCTTGGATACTCAACCAACTCAGTAAGTAGATAACAATGGTTCTAACTAGGGGAACTGGGGTTAGCCCACTTGAACTTCAGAAGGTTTTGAGCATGCAAAGTTTAATCGCACCCGGGAATTTCATGCTTGAGCCTCGACGCGCCCATCCATATGAGGGTGAGGCGGACACTACCGCCTTTCAATCATGCCAGAAACTAGGGGCCAAGCCTTGATACAGTATGTGCCCAGACGTCAAGTGGTAAGCAAGGTCGGTGGAAAGCAAGGTGAAAAGCAATCTGGCCATGAAAGATCTCAGATTCACAGCATAGCAACTGCAACTAGCTTTGTCGGGTTGTTGGGGCCGGTGTCGATGCGCGCGCGCGCACACACACACACACGCGCGCGCGCGCGCAATCACTATTTGAAATTGCGTTTCAGGTGAGCCAGAAAAGGTGTCCAATATCTTTTAAGCAATCCCTCATGAGATGTGCCAAAAATGGGGCAAATCCCATGTCCCCATTCCGGTGAGTGCACTCATAGCATTATGCAGAAAGCCAAGCATCTGGACCACCCTCCCTGACCCAAAACGACCTCATTGTTCTGTTTCGCCAGCATGGATAAGCGGAGAACCAGGACCAGAACGAGCCGAAACCGCTCTCCGGCTTGGCGAAACTCCTGGGAAACTTGATGAGACCCCTCAAGCGTATGCTGAGGCTTCGTACTCCCAAATGGGGGGGGGGGGGGTGTTTCAACCGGGGGGACAAAAAAGAAACGATGCTGCAAATCAAAGAGAACGATTGTTCAGGGTTTCGACTGCTTTATTATTGAGCTTCCTAAGCAAACCCCAAGAAGGAAAAAAAAAAACGGGGAAGGCACCTAGGGCTCTCAACTACCCACCCCCTTGCACCTACCTCCCTTAGGGATTCCACAATTTTTAGGGCTGACATCAAAGAACTTTGTCTAGAATTTGCACGGGTTCCCTTCAAAGCAACCCGATATGTTAATTGAGAAAAAAAGAGCTCGAAGAGTCGCCCTCTCTATTGAGCACCCCCATAGATCAGCGCGGCTAAAAACTCACCCAACCGACTCGGGCACTTCATGTCGATCTTGGGGCCGCCCGCCATCTCAATGGCCGTGGCGGACCTGAGTCACAATCAGAACCTGGTACAAAAGTGTTTTGAACCCAGCACCATGCTTCAAGAATTAGAAAGCCGGATCTCCGCCACTCTTTCCGGCCGGGAATCTGCCCCTAACCGGATCATCAACCCCCGAGTCGGTTTCGATTGCACGTGGCTCACCTGAGCCCGTCTTTTGGCGCGCGCGCGCGCACCAGGGGAATTCTTCGATGTGACATGGCCGTGGCTTTCAATCAAAATTCACCGATCGGGGCGGGCTGGCTCAAACCGCAGGTTTTGGTGCCCATGTGTTCCCGCTTGCCAGGGCAAGCTTGCGCCATTTTGGAATTCCGGGGTTTTTTGAGCCACAGCCACATGGGTCTGTCATTTTCTTGGGGGGAGAAACCCCTCAACTCTGGTTGCTCATGATCCATGTTGGGTTCATGGGTTCATGGGTCAATTTCAGGGACAGTCAAACCCTGCAAATGGGCTAATTTGAAGCGAAAGCCGAAAAAGAAAATTCGAGGCAAGCGATTCGTTTTGGGGTTCCAGGCCCAAGCCGGGCTCTGAATGGAACCAAAGCACCGCAACCCTGGGGTGACCGGGGGAGTCAAACAGCGCCTAACGTTCAACGTGAGGCTCAAGTGAAAAGAAAAAGTGTTTCCCAGGACCCTGCTTCAGTGAAAAATCGCAGTCAAGGGGAGAGACACTGCTTCTGAGCAGTGTGGGAGGTCCCCCAATTTTGACACAGATGCCAAGCGCAATATCACTTACAGCGCGTTCACTTGGGTAGGCCCCCGATTTTGTGTGACAGAACAGGGCATATTGGGTATCCTCAACCACTGACTTGCTCATGTTGCTGTGGCTCACAAAAAATAATTCCACAAAAATGGCTTGCCTGGTATAGAAATAAAACCAAACACTAAAGCCTTCGCAACCCTAGCTTTAACTTTCACACCCATGTCATGTCATGTGTGTGTGTGTGTCTGTGTTTTGTTTTGTGTGTGTTTGGTTTTATGTTTTTTATTTTTTATATATATATTTTTTATTTTTTCGGGGGGGGGGGGGGAGGGGGGAGGGGAGGCTGCACTGACCCGAATTCAACTCCTAGCCGGGGCTGCCGGCGCCAGCTGAATCAGATCAGCCCAGGACACCTTGGAGAGAGGGCCATTCGTGGGAACCCTAAGGTATGAGTCAACCCCAGTTGATATCAAGGTGGGGGTGGTTACCCTGGGTGAAATCGTCCAGGGAGACCTCCTAATCTTGACCCCATATGACAAAAAAACCCAGTTTATGTGAGTCTGGGCCAGTGAACATCCCAATTCAACTAGGTCCTCCAGATTTGAGAGGTTAGAATAAGGGTACCGCTTCTTTTTCTCTGTAGTCTAGTGTAGCGGAACCCTCTCCCGAAAAAGGGAAAAAGGGCACCACTGGGGGACCTTGTTAATGTGGGGGTGGTTACCCCCTGCCTGGGTGAAATGTGGGGAATCTGACAATGTTTGGAGGGTTCGGAACACGCCGCTATTAGGAAACCTGGGGTTGATTCATATGGGGTCAACATTAGTCCAAATACCCGCCTGTTTTTGGGTATAAATTGAAAAACGTGTTGACCTCATGCCCAAATAACGAAGGGTATTTGACCTAGAGGGAAGACTTGCGTGCCCCGGTGCGTGCAAACCTATTCTCTACACCCACTACATACCACGTTAACAGCCTTGTTCAAATCCCCATAGTTCCACACCAGCCTCGGGCGATCGTCGAAATCAGCAAGCCCAGAAAGAACTGGGGTCACTGCAAGGGAGTCTGGGATGACACTTAGCATCACCAACATAGAAGAACAAGCTGCAAGCTGGTATCCTGTGCAGAAGTGGCCGGTTTGCAGACCTCCAAAAGTCAACTTTGCTGTTTGGTGAATATAAAGGAAAAAGAAAGGCAAAAAGTCTTGTACAAGCTAGCCTTTGGTGTGGAACTTACAGTATCCGAATGACACCATGGGCTTGTCTTGAAGGCTACAATTCGCAGCGAGATGGATAAATGAGGGCTGTGCCAGAACGGATTCAGGTTCCAGGGTCCACCCAGAAAGCATGAGCCTTGGAACGGTTCGAAGCCCCGCAATTGAGGCCCCCCCAATTTGATTTCCCCTTGCTCCCTGAGCAAGTGAGTTTAGAGACGCAAGAAGCCCAAAACTGAAGCTCAAAGTGGAGATGTCCGCCCTCAAGCCGGCCTGTCAAGGATTCAAATTGAAAGAAATATATAATATACCTATACATATATATATATATATTATTACTATTATTGTTAAAAAAAAAGGGTTCTGACCGCTCAACGGAGAATCGTGTGTAGAAACGACGAAAAATGTTTCAGCCAAGCGCCTTGAATTCAAGCATGCGGGGGCAAACTCCAAATGGGCGGACCCGATTCCTTTTACTTTTTAGCTACAACGGCAAAATGCATACTTGAGCTTTGATCACAGGTGCAGCCATATCCACTCACAAACCTGTCCTCAGATCCGTTGCGAAAGGTTTGATTTTGGGTTAGCCTAAAAACCTAGGGAACCGAATGGCTGCGAACCACCGAAACCTTTCTCCTTGCCGAAAGGCTGATGGGTGCTTCTTCTGGATATCCTCCAAATAACCTGACGCAAAGTGTGATACGAGGTCCGGATCCCCCCTGCTGTAGGGGGGAGGGAGGTGGGGGGGGCCCAATTCCATTTATCTAGTCTTCCCAATAAAAGGGAGAATGGAACCAGAAATGGATTTCCAGGGGTCACCCCCCTCCCCCAATTCCATTTTCTAGGGGGTGGAGATAGGTCCGGAATGCACCCCTGAAAGGAGCTCCCCAAAGGACTGCAAGCGCAGGACTGCGTGTGCGTGAAAGGTGTCCTCGCAAGCGCGTCTGGATATACAAAAAGACCACGTTCAGCTTCCCTCGTGATATTCGGATCCCAAAAGTTGCGGTGAATGGGAATCGCGCCCCCAACTAAAGATGATATGCAAGCTACAATGTAAGTTCAAAAGTCCCAGAATGATGCTATGAAGGATATCTCAACCAGTTCGCACATGACCAATGATAAACCACGGCATGTGCACTGGCATCGATGCATGGATTGTGAATACATGGGGATGTTTCCGCCACATGGTCCCCTGAACCGTTGGCTTCCGTTCAGCTTCCCTTTACCAACCGAAGGGGGTCCACCGTTTGGCTGTATCTTTTTTGGGGACCCCCCAAGTGATGGTTTTCCACTTGGCTGTCCTTTCCCACAAAAAGGGGGGGCTCAAAACAAGACAAATGCATACATCCTTGGCTGGGCGGGTCCTAGCCGTCCGGTTCAACTTGGCCTTTGGTTGTTTTTAGTCGGTTGAGTGGCTGGGTCTCCGCAGTCAACCCACTAAAAGTCAAAAAAACTTGTAGCATCGTTGATCTGAAAACGCACGGCCCAGCTTTGACCATTGGTTTCCAACACGCGGCTTTGAACTTGAGAAGCCCCCCCACGTTTCCAACCGGCACAGGCCACGGAAGCCAGCCGCTCGATTCTCTCGCCACGGGCCTCTGGCCTTGGCGAGGCCGGCGTTGGCGCCTCGGCGGTGTCCGCGAGCGGAGCCAACTGCTAGGAGGCGGCGTGGGGTCGAGTGGGCCGCAAAATGTGCATGGAGACCCCAGATTCTCAACCCCCTCTTTGGAAAACATGTGCGAAAAAAAGAAGCAAAAGACTGTTGTTTCAAAAACCCACCCCCCATGAGGAGCCCTTCTGGAGAAATCGGGAGGAGTGCCCCTCCGAAAGTGGTCTGATTCTGGGGTAACCCCCTTATTATGAATAAACTGGATGGGGTCAACATTACGGAGTCTAAAAATCAAAAGCCCTGGGGGAATGAAGCAACACAGCTGCTGGATGGGGTCGACATTACGGGATCTAGAACAAAAATCAAAAGCCTGACTTGGGGGAATGAAGCAACACAGCTGAGCGCTGCCACCCATGTTCATCTCCGGGTCGAAACGGATCGCACCTCAGCAGATGACACGCGCGCGCGCCAAAAGACTCGACTCCACTGGCACTCCCCTCCCCCGCTCTGTGCGGCCCGACTCGCACCCCGATCACCCCACCCCCCTAAAACCCTCAAGCAATACTCTAAACCAATTGTTTCGGGCTCGCTTCAGATTCTTCATACTCCATTTGGGGTTGACAGTACTCAACGGTGGGCATTCCTCAATTGCTCGCTTCCGTGGGTTGGCCCAAGTAACCAAACTCTTCGAATACAAAAAATGGTCTGACCAATGCGAAGTTTAGTCCACATCTCCTGGCTTCGACAGATGGCCGCCTTTGGTCTTTCCAAAAAGTTCTGAGTCTTTGCACTCCGGGACTGACCAGGTTGCTTCCCTTTTCCCCTCAAAACCATTCCTTTAAGGGGACCACTGTTTTCCAGCCTGGTCGGGTGCACTACACCAACGAACCACCGACCTAAGGCGCGCACCGTTGGCTCCACCGCGCGCGGGCCAGTCCTTGATGCGCCTCGGAAGGCGACGGCTAAGCCGAAAAGAAGACCTTGGAGGAAAACCTGTACCCTGGTGGGTATATGGCTGTGGGTCAAAAACATGGAGCCCAAAATGGCACCCTGGCAAATGGAAGACTAAAGCCTGCGGTTTGCCCTAGCTCTTTAATTTTGAGCCACACCCATATGGTGGTTGTAGCCCACTCAACCTCTGGCAGTGATTTGCGGGGAGTCGAACCATCTTAGAGATGTTGTCATAGGTGACCTTGTGTTGAAAACTAGACAGGTTGCCATGGTAAATGGGCATAAATCCCCTCCCAAACCGATAAAAAGGACACCCATGGCATGACAAACGCGCCCCGATTCGCATGCCCTGAGCAGGATGAGTGCCCGAGCCATGAACCAGTGGAAACCATCCATTCTACTTTCACCCCACTGCAACCAATGCCTCCATTTGCTTCAGTTCCCCGGAAAATTAAAAAAATGGCCAGTAAAGACATTGATTCCCTTCCAAACCAAGAGGAGAAAGAGAAAATGGAAGCCATGGATACGTGTTCTTCCTCACCCTGGCGCCAGGGTCGGGCGCTCGCTCGGGCGCTCGGCCCCAAATCAAATCGAGAGACCTTCCTTCGCTCGCGCGCCAATCGAGCGCGCGGCTGGTCGTAGGTGCCGGAGTCCTGGCGTAGGGCGAGCGGGTCGTTGGGCACAGGTGTCCTTTTAGAGGAAATAGATGGCACTACCAGGTAGACCAGGAATCGCCCTCTATTTTTCTAGCACAACAACCAAAAAGGACACCCATGGTCATGGGGGAACCTCCCGTTTCAGAGACGGCCGAGTGTTGGGCCCCCAACTCTTTTGGCTTCAACCCTCCCCCCCAATTAACATGGGACCTGACGTTCGGGGGGGACCCTTGGAGGGTACGACCTTGTAATTGCGGGCCTTACCATGTCCTTACAGAACCCCTGTCAGCTCCGCAAGGCTCCCTAGGCAAATTTGTATATGTCTAGCTCCGGGCTCCCTTCCAACCACAAGCTCTTGTGAAATCTCAAGAGAACAGCTCAAGAACCCCAAGTCTCAGCTTGCCGCGTCCGACTTCAACCTTTACTCACTTGCCCAAAGGACCCAGAAATAAAAGGCTCACCTTTTGGAGCCATGACTAAAAGTGGTTCCCAAAACTGGAAAACCAAATGGTTTTCCAGGTCGATTCGCTTTGGGCAACTGAGTTTAACGTGGCTTTCGGGGCGGTTGAAGCTTGGCTTCGGATCCCGGAGAACCGATTCTAGGTCAACCTCCAGCACCCGGGTCGTTCAGCAACTGCCTGCGTTGGTGACCGCACTTGTTGATTTTTGGGCATGGCAAGAAGATGGCACCATCAAAGAAAGCGAGGAAGATGATTCCTGACAAACAATGGTTGTCCAGGACGAAATTGTGAAGATGAAGAGGGAGCCCTAAATCCTGTTTGTAAGGAGGAAGCCCTTTTGGGAGATGTCCTTTTACGGTTGCGCGTTACTTTGCAGGGGTGCAAATCAAAGATATATGTATATATAGATAGATTATCGTATACACATACATATCTATATATATATATATGCATATATATATATATATATGGTACGCCCCCCCCCCCTGGTGCCTAGGTTTTGCTTGATTTTAACCACCGTTTTCAAGACTTTTTGCATTTTTTGGGCCAAACTTGGGCACCAAGGAAGGGGTGTGTGTGCCACAATTCTACCATTAAGAATGCTGGATCCAAGATTGCTGGGAGACGTTCAATGTGAAAATCTGGAATTCAAGATTCAAGATTCAAGCTTTCAAAACAATCTTTTCTGGAATTCTGGGATATTGAGTCTTGCTTCCCATATTTTTCAAAAATTGGAAAAATATGGGATTCAAGATTCAAGATTCAAGATTTCAAAATAATCTTTTTCTGGAAATCTTGAATCTTGAATCCCAGAATTCTAAAAAATAAAAATAACAATGGGATGCAAGATTCAAGATTCAAGATTTCAATATAATCTTTTTCTGGAAATCTTGAATCTAGGGGTTCTAGGGGAATACTAGGGGGACACTCAGGGGATTTTACGGGAATATTGATGGTGAATACTAGGGGAGTACTCAGGGAATACTAGGAAAATACTAGGGGAATACTGAGGCAATACTAGGGTAGGCCAATACTGGGGAAATAATTGGGGAATATTAAGGGAGCACCAGGGCAATACTAGGAGAATAGCAGGGGTCTACTATTGGAATTCTAGGAGAATACGAGGAGAACACTCAGGGAATATTGGGGGAATACTAAGGGTTAATACTCGGAGAATACTAGGGGAATACTGAGGCAATACTACGGGGGTACTCAGGGAATACTAGGGGAGCACTGAGAATTACTCGGGATACACCAAGAGAACTGGGGCAATACTAGGGGAATACTTGGGGAATATTAAGGGCAATACTAGGAGAAAAGTAGGGGAATACTGGAATTCTAGGGGAATACTGGGGGAATACTAGGGGAATACTAGAAGAACACTCAGGGAATACTAAACGAATACTAAGGGTGAATACTCGGAGAATACTAGAAGAATACTGAGGCAATACTACGGGAGTACTCAGGGAATACTAGGGGAGCACTGAGAATTACTCGGGATATACCAAGAGAACTGGGGCAATACTAGGGGAATACTTGGGGAATATTAAGGGAATACTAGGGCAATACTAGGAGAAAAGTAGGGGAATACTGAAATTCTAGAAAAATACTGGGGAAATACTAGGGGAATACTAGCAAACCACTCAGGGAAATTCTCGGGAATATTAAGGGAGAATACGAGGAGAATACGGGAATACTGAGGAAATACTAGGGGAGTATTAAGGGAATGTTGCCAGATGTTTAATCATCTGCTTCTTGCCATGATGGACTGCAAGCCCATTCGTCTGTGCTCAAAATCTATTGCAAACAAATCTAAACTCTACAGACTGTGCTCTCAAATCAAGCAAAACCTACACCAGGGGCGTAGCATAGATACATAAATATAATGTATATATATATACATACAGATATATGTATATATACATACAGAAGGGGACGTTGCGGAGGCCTGCGTTTTTCACATACTTTGGAATTTCAGAAATGTACGTTCAAAAGTATGGCCTCCACAGCGCCCCGAAAATTCAATACAAAACGGCTGGGCATTGTGGAGTCCAGGAAAAGTGTAGATTACGCGTTACATAAAAATTGCCGCCGGGCTGGATCTGGCGATTTGGCTGCTCCTGCATTGATAAACATGGCCACCGGGCCCGAAAGCCATTTTTATCAACGCAAACAGCCAGATCTAGCCCGGTGACCGTTTCTATCAACGCAGAAGCAGCCAAATGGCCGACCGACCCCTGTTCCCACCCCTTGCTTGGGCTGGCTGGGTAAGGCACTCGAGGCATGGGCGCCGCTTCCCTCCATGCTCATGGCACCGCGAAGCGGAGCCTAGCCCCTCCAAATCAATGTGGCATTGCACCTGGCAACTCTCCGCTTTTAGTTCTATTCTGTTGTTCTTTTCATTGTTCCTTCTTATGGTCTTTTCTTGAGTCCTTTCACGTTAGCCTGCTCGCTGAGTGCCTGGCGCAGGCCGCGTGCAACTCGTCCACGCAGCCCTGGTGGGTGGCTGCAATGCCAGGCGTAGCCGCCTCCGGGCGCTCGCTTGGCCGCGTGTTTTCAAGAAGAAAAACAGCCTTCCGCCGAGGGCACAAGGGGAACGCCGGTAGGGTCCGTCAGCCTTGCGCTCGCCGCCTGTGCAAGAACAACAGACTGACTGTTAAGGGCTTAAGGGCTGCACGGGCACGGTCCTTAGGCTTTCCCGGGGCTCGATCTTGGGAGGCCGGGCCGCTTTCTGCTGCGCCGCCCTGCCTCCCCACCCTTCCACTTCTTGGCGGGGCCGGCCCTCTTGGCTCCTGACCAGAGCGCTTTTTTTGCACCTCTGGGCTTGTGTCTGGGCAGCTTTCCGCAGTGTCCGGGCGTTCTTCCTGGCTCCGTGCTGGCACAAAGGACTTCACGGCCTGGGCAGCCTTGACCAGCTTATCCGTACCGTGCCCGCGCCTCGCGTCATAATCCTGGAGGCCCACAGTGGAACAGAGAGAAAAAACTGTTTGGGCCTTAAAAAGGACCAAAGGGAAACCGCAGCCATTTGGGTTGTTCCCCCCTCCCGAATCCATAGACCCGATTTTTTTAACGATGCCCTCTTAGATGGGCCCCTCGAAAGAGAATTCATGGGTCAACGTTAGCCGACGTTTGTGGGATGAAGTCATGAGGTCCATCCCCCACTTCCTTGTGAATCCTTCCTGTACTTCCTTGTGAAGGAAACGCACTTGCCATAGGCTGCCAAGCTGCTATCCCCGGGGATTGAACTTTTCCATTGGCCATGAGTGGCTGGCTAGTAGGCCTCTCCCCACATGACAAACGAATCAACTACAGATTCCTGGTCCTATGGCCAGTGGATGAGGCAATATGAAGAGGCAGACCTGCATGTCTGCACAGCATGCCTTTCTAATTACATCATCAGGGATGGGCCCTCCAGCTCCTATGCAAACTGGTGGCATGCAATGGCTGATCTGGCTGGAGGTAAGAGATATCCTGCTTGAACCCTCCATAATTCACCAACGCAATTTCTGCTAAGTATATCTCCCATGGTCAACCCAAGAAAGCCTTACACCTTATGTTCATAGAACAGCAACGGAACACCGAAAGCCTCTGTACTATGAAAAACACATTTATTGTTGTTTATGAAAAAACACACATTTCACTGGAAAAACGCAATATCTATCCATATATATATATATATATTATTTTTAGATGCACAAGTCTTGGTAAAAAGTTGTTTTCGCTCTCTCTCTCTCTCTCTCTCTCTCTCTCGCTCCCCAGCCAAGAGGTCAAAGAAGTGCATAAGGACTCCCAGTGAACAAGACCAACAACCGCACGTCCTCAAATCAGCTATGTGCGATAGATGGGTATGTCCCCCAAAAATGGATGGTTTCCTGTTGGCTTCCATTAAAACCAACGAAAAAATGGTACCCTCAAAAAGACACACCCGAATGTCAAGAGTTTCCCATCGCTCCCTCCAGCCGTTCGCGTCCAATAACAAAACCCTGGCAAGGATTCCAAGATACACTCTCAAGTAATGTTGCCGGCCGCGCATGCCAAGCAAGGCGGACCAAGATCCTCAGAATGGCACGGATCAGCAAGCCGGTGTTTTCGTTGACATCCCCCCAACTAACATGGAAGCTCCGGCACTTTGGAACACTTGCTTCCAGCCCTTGTAGCTTCCATGGTCTGAGGAAGTGTAGAAGGGGCTAAATGATTACTCGCGTCCACTCAACTCCGCTAGTTGTGACCAAGTTTAGTTCGATAAGTCCCCAGAACCCGTGTCGAAGCTTTCCAGTCCGAAACAGTAGCGCAACGTGGCCCGAGGCATATCCGAGGCATCCGAGATATGCTGCCCGAAAAGCCGAGTGTGAGGGGCCAAATAGATTACAACTAGAATGGGGATTTGGGGCACTGTGCCGACTTAGGCCATGATCATGGGAAGATGGCATGTTTTATTTATTTATGCCCCGTAGATAACCACTAGACATGGGTCAATGATTCAATCCAAACTGAAGCCAGTGCCATGGATGTTCGACCAGACCCAAAAGCACACCCGTGCCTACCCAATAAGCCAGAGTTGGTTCTGGTCAAGGGGGGACCTTTGATGGACATCATTTGGGTGGGGATTTATGTCCGCCAACCACTTATGAGGGGGATCCAACTCTTGGACTTCACGGCAAGCCGCAGGCTAGCTATAAAAAGTAGCCCCCTTCAGTTGGCACTCAGTGCAGCGTGCGAAAACATGCCAGCAGGGATGCAGGGAGAGCACCTCCCAATCCAAGCAGGAAAGAGAACACAGGCCTACATCACTCGATGGTTCCTCTGAGTAGATATTTGTCTCACTTCTGAACGAGTTGATTGGTCAGAAAAAGGAAAAAAAAGTAACGGATGGTTGTGTTTACAGCTAACATGGTCCAAACCCACAAAGTTTTAAAGTCCATGAACTCAGCGGGTGAGTTGACCTAGCTCAAGTCATTGAGTTGCTCCCATCGCCATGTAAGCTTGCACGAATCCGTGAGTCCCAGCTGCTGCTGGGTGCGTCTTAAAACAGGGGGGTCAAGGGGTCCAACAAAATGAGCAGCTTCCTGTTCCCTTGCCTTTCTTTATGCCCAATGGGTTGCAGGGCTTGCCTTACGGGACCTAGAGATATCCCCGGTCTGCCCTCAATCTATAGACGGGATTGAACAACCGCCGACAGCCAAGTGATCGCGATGGGGCCACACTCATAGGGAACAGTCAGAACTGAGGGACAAACACCCGGTCCGCACTTGTACAGTCAGACCTGAAGGACAAACCATCGGATTGTTGGAGGGTTGCAAGATGCATCGGCTGATCAACTCGCGTGAACTAACCCACCATTGGCATTGGAAGAAAAGGTGGCAGTTTTTTGGTACTTGATGCTCAAAGATCAAACGACAAGGGATTGTTCATGGGGGTTCCCTCATTCTCTTGATGCAGATCCCCTACATAAAGTGACTTTCGTGGGTTAAATGGAAACCCAACCACTAAACCAACTAAAAACAACTAAAAACCTAAGGAACCAGACGATTAGCTGCTTGAACCGCCAAGTAAAGGAAAGCCAAAGGGAAGCAACCCACCAGGGGAAAGAGTTGCTGTCAAACGATGTCAGGATGCCGGGCGGATGGCAGTTGATGTCGTCGATGAGCTTCTTCAGTTCCTGGCCGGGCGGGGGAATCCGCGGGCGGTTCCAGAATGGAAATGGCATGGTTGCTGGCTGTCGGCCCTGCAAAGAGTTTTAAACTTTTGCCTGAATTCCCAAAAAGCGGAAGTCTAAAGATTCAACCCCAGTGGCAATCAAGATGGGGAAACCCCTTCAACTTCTTGGGTGGTTTGAATTGGTGGTTTGGAGGTGCTAAGGGAGTGATTTTCCATTTTTATCCTCAAGAACCAGGGGTTCAAATCCAAATCCAATCCAAACCAACCTGACGGGTTACCAGACCCCTTGTGGTTGTTCAATGGGAAACGCACAGGAGGTCAATGTTCCTTGTCGGGGTTACCCATTGTGAGGTTGAGTCAATGAACGGTTTTGTTTTTTCCGTGTTGATACCAAAATGCTCAACTAGAATTCCAAAAGCTGAATTAAGAATCGGATCCCCAGATTCAAGAACACCTCTCACGGCTTTCGCTCGTGCCTTCGGTGCTTTTCCCCCCCCCTGCAAAGAGTTTTCCACCTTTTTTGGGGGGGGGTTTCTCTGGAAAACCCAGCCTGAAATCTCAACCAAAAAAGTTGTTCAGTCTAAAGATCTGGCGGTCAAGGTACCCACTCGCTCGCTCGCAACTCGAAACTCGTGCGGCCCATCCGGCCTCCCTGCAGGCTTTCAGCTCCGAAGCCTGCTTGCCGCCGCCGCCCAGCCTCGCCAGTCGTCGAGCCGTCGCGCGGCGAGGCCGTCGTGAACCCAAAAATCCAGGGGGACCCGGGGGGGTGGGGGAAGGAAAGACGTCGCTCTGAGGATCATTCAGTCTTGCACCTTTGAACGCAGGAGTGTGGTTCCTAACATTGTTGAACTCGACCCGACATCTAGGGCTTAAATCTGTTCTACCAGCATTCTCACCGGCCAGAGATGTTTAAGATGTCATTGAACATTGACCCCAAAGCCCGAAGAACACAGTTGTGTTCGCTCTTTGCTTCTCCCAAACCAAAAGGATGCTAGCGCCAACTTTCAAAAGTCCCGCGCTCCGACAGCTCAGCGAGACTTTGTTCCGGAACCTTGACATGGGCATCTCCTAAAAAGAACATTCCTTCCAGCACCCAAAAAAATGTATGTTTCTTTCAGGTCCAACATTACAAGTACGGGAACCAAAAAGCAGCTGTTGGGGGGGGTGCTGGTATGTGCTGGTTCTTTAAAAGCCGGTTCCTTTGGCTATGTGTCAAAAGAATTACTTGGACCCCAAAGGCATCAAGGTGCAAACCCACGGCAAACCCATCATCTGCCCAGGTTTTGAACACGTGGCTCACTTGAGGTGTCAACGACCAGATTCCTCTCTCAATGAGGGCCCCAGGCATGCCGAAGCATCCATCGGAGCAGATGTTCCCCATGGCCTGGCCACGAGATCTGAACCCCCTGAAAATGGCAAAACCCATTTAGGCGGTGTTTCGCAGATTGGAGGTTGCCCTCCACCAATTCACGGAACCTGACGTTCGGGGGTCAATATACCTTCCTGAGAAAGGGCCCCGTTTTTTTACCTTCCTTTTTTTGAACCAACCTACTGTTCAAACCTGGTGACAGCAAGAAACTGGAGGCTCCTCCAAGGCGATTCTAAATTACTGTATATTTCAGGGTGGCTAAACATGAAACGTACCCTCCCACCAATTCACATGGAACGTGACGTTCGGGGGCTCCTGGAAGGTCATTGAAGGACCCCCTGTCAGGTTACATGTTAATTGGTGGGAGGGTACCCTGTTTTGGGGTTGGCTTAAAGGGAAACCAAAGGCCAACCCGCCCTTTTTGGGAGCACCCATGTTCATATGGGTGTGGCTAAAAAATGTAGGTACCCCCGAAAAGTGCGTTGCCCTGGTAAATGGAAAGGAATCTGCGGTCCCCTGATCCTGGTGGCTTAATTTTGAGCCGTGCCCACTTGATAGTTGGGCAACAAATGGCACAATGCATCCGTGTTGGTTGAATGTCCTTCCCTTGGAGAAATACCCACATAAACAAACTTGCACCATCTACTTTCACCCTGTATCCGAACCCGAATTGACGGAGGGGCTCCGAGCTCGCAGCAGTCTCCTGGTTCTATGTTGGGTGAGGGTAACCTTTGATCAGGTAACCATTACTTGATGCATTGGATTGGTGGCTTGAGCCCCTGGTGCTAGAGGGTCCACTTGCCACCACACCACGAAATTGGGGGAAAGCTGAAGGCCCCGACAAAAGCTTCCTTTTGGTCCTGTTTCACACCAACCGCAAGACCCTCAAAAAAAGCACACGCTTTGGTTGAACATACGCGCGAGTCCGCTCCGCTGGTTTGGTTAAAACTTAGTGAGTCCCCTGAGCAGACCCCGAACCCCGAATGGACCCTAGACAAATCAAGCGGACATGTTGACCGAACAAATGGAAAAGTGGGGGCCCTAAGCCCGGCCTTCTCCCCAAAGCAACAATAGACGAACAATAATTTGTCCGCTCAAGTGGGAGATGCAAACTTTCCCGCGTCCCCTTTCAAGCTCCTTCCCTGCTTGCCGTTTCTTTAAAGCGCAACAAGTGGAGTCAAACAGCCTCATGGAAAGTGTCTGCTGTCGGAGAAGTCCTGAATGAGGCTCTGTAAACGAGAGGCGCACGGCATTTGAACGCAAAAAGGGCCTTCGAACACGCGCTGCGCGCATCCACCTTGACTCCCTCTCTCTCTCTCTCTCGGATTCCTGGCGAATCCTTCGGACGTCTCTCAAAACCGAGCAGGGCAACCGCGAGTTGCAACCTTCCGAAAGGCAGAGAAACAGCCACCCAACCCCTTCCTCCCGTCCCGACTGAACCGAACATACCACACCCTGCCTGGAGTCTGGAGCGAACTGCGTCGATTTCAAGGCTTCAATGGAATGGCTAGAGCCAGGATAGCACAGCATGGGTTCCTTGACACACTGGCGTTCTCCGAGTGGAGTGGCTGAAAAAGTGCAAACTGTTATTTACCACTACAATGGTCTTCGCAAAACAAAATAAGCTCCGGTGATATCCCCAACAGCATGCGGTGCTCTTCCCAGTGCTCGCACTACCCCGCAGCCCTCGCAGAACCTCGTGGAACCCTGGTGGAACCCTCGTGGAACCCTCGTGGAACCTCACCTCAGGGCCGCCCCGGACCACCCCGGAGCCTATCTGGGCTGAGACCCCAAAGCTTTCAGCTGTTGGGGAATTAAAGTCCATGAACTCAGGAAGTGAGGATTACGTTTCATGTTTAGCCTACCCAAAAAAATACATAATAACATCAACCGGCTTGGAGGAGACTCGGCTTCCTGTTCTTCGACCTCCGTTTCACCGGGTTTGAAAAGCAGGATGGTTCGAAAAAAAGCGACCTCCAAAAATGGCATCGGTGTTCCTTTTGGGTCCCCTTTCGAGCAACCTAACCAGGGGTGCCATCTCAAAAAAAGGCAGAGCCATCCCCCGACAACAGCAGACTCTCGCGCGTGCCGCTTCTGAGGTAAAAAGCCGTTCTTTTTTGAGCACTGGTTCCAAACTTGCTGGTGTGATAGCTAGGGAATCTGGCAACGAACCGGAAGGGAGTTCGCTTAAAGGAAACCATAGAGAATGGTTTATAAGGATTCCCTGCTGAGCACCGAGCTCTCGATCTCTGCCTTTCAATCTGTCTTGCTCTCTTTTCTCTAGAAAGAGAGGACGTTACGCCATGGGCTTGTCAAGAATCGGCCGCCCCTGTCTGCCTGGTTTCCTTTTTTCAAAGCCAGAAGACGTCCCTTGCCTAGCGTCCCAAGCAGGGATCCTTACATTATACACCTGAACATTGCAACTTGTAAATGGTGGTGTCAACCCTTATTTTGGTGGAAAAGGCAAAATGTCTCAAATGGTTGCAAAATGAATTTCTTGTAAGGAGCCCTGCCAAGAGTGCACCAATCCCAACATGTAACCCACCAAACAGGCCTCTGGAAGCAAAGCGCTTCAACCCCACTCGATGGGAGGAATTTCTGGAATTTGGGCACTGATCATATAGGTCTGTCTTTTTGGGGGGTCAAAGGGAAATCACAATGAAAACAGCCATTTCGGAGGGGTCTGCTAAGAAAGACACCCTTACATGGTCACAAAGGTTTGGAGGGGAAAGAATGTGGGCAGCTGTGGGCTACTAGACTCGCTAACCATCTTCGCGCACCTTTTTCCGCATGCAAGGAACTCATTCACCGGCCCCCCAAGACTCCCGCGGGCCCAAAGTCCGCATTAGACAAACCGAACCGCAAGCTCAAAAAGAACTCCTGGCCGCGTTCCTTCAAGCCTGAATAAAAGAAAAAGATGGAAAGCAGTTGATTGTACTGACTCACAAACCTTTTGTTTCTATATGCAACCTTGGAGAATCAGACCTTGTAGGGTTTGTTCCTCTTGGGCCACACATACGGCTCGGGATGGCCATCCACGAATTTCTGTACATGTTTACACGGCGCCGCAAAACAAGAAGACGGCGCCGCAAGAGCTCGCCGCTCGCTCACTCCCGGAAAACTCGGATGGAAGGCTTCTGCATTTGCGTTTTCATTCTCAAGCCGAATTAAATTTGGCTGTGGCAACCAAAAAAATCCGGAATTCCAAAACCTGCGGTTTGCCCCTCCGATCGTTTAACTTTGAGCCACACCCAAATGCCAGCGTTTGCAAACTTGACGGTATTTGGCAGTCAATGAGACGGGGGTCCTTCCGCGACACGCGTTACTATTTCCTACCGCGACAAAAAAACACACACGTTTTCTGGTCGTTATTATTTTTTCTCTTATCGTGGTTAGACCCCCTTACTGGCAGTCAATGTGCACTTTTGTTCAACTGCTGCAGTCATTTTTTTACTGTAACTCCACAAGCTGAATCAATCGGAACCCCAAGCACAGGACCTTTCTTGTGCGCTCGTTTTTGGTTATCCATGGTCTAAGCCATGTCCGAATAAGCACACTCCCTCCCACGTTGCCATGGCACCTGACAGGGGGTTCCTTGAGAGGACATTAATCTTCCAGTGCCATGTTAGTGCGAGGAAGGGCATGCTTTGTTTTTAGTTGGTACCCCTTTTGGGTTGGTTTGTTCAAGGGAAACCACAAGGAAAACCTTCGCCATTTTGGGGCTACCCCATAAAGAGGACACGCCCATATGGCTCATATGCCCATACCTCCGTTCAAATGGGATGGATGTTCGAGTTCTTTCGGCTCGCAATGCCTTCTCCACAGGATGTCAAGGCACAAGGGTTAGCAAAGTGTGCAGCACGACCAAAACCTGAAGCAAGCAGCGAAACAGAGGAAACCCCCAGTGAAGCACCTCATAGTGAGCTCGTGATAAACATATAGCCAAATAAAAAGAACCGGTGAAATCGCTCGCCATAAAAAAAAACGGGCTCAAGCATGTGCACAGTCAACCGCGGGAAAGCCACCGATCCGAAGGCCTCCGGCGAGCAATCCTGCACTACAGGGGCGCAGTGCTCATGCGCCTGGCACATCGCGCGGGAGGCCAAGTGCTAGGCCGACCCAGAAATTTGCCAAGACCCAGTCGGGTTGGGAGGGATGCAAAACTGAGGATTCTGCGCGCAGGTCGGAGTTGCAGAGGATCACCCGGCCAAACAAGAGTTGTCCGGCCAAACAGATGCTGACCGACAGGTTGAGCGCTGGATAGGGGGCAGCCCCCGAAGGAAAAACCGCCCGCGCACATACATCATGTTAGTGGTAGCCTGTCTCAGAATATGAACCTGAATGCAACCCACTTAGTCAGTAGGTTATAACCAAAATTCGCTATAGCCATGGTCATATTCATCGTACTAAGTGGGTTGGACGTCAAAGAAGGACATATCTCGGTGAGGCTGGCAAATCACGTCTCAGCTTGATCTAACTTGATCCAGGCGTTGGATTGATTCACCACACTGAGCAAGTGACAGCCAGCCCAACACCAAAAGAAGCTGGAAAACATCTGAAGCCGCCAAGAAGCGACAGTCAAACAACTCGCAAATGCCGAAACGGGACGGAAAGCAAAGCCATAGGGGGGTTGCAACCATCGGTCTTTTGAAAATCCAGCCACCTTCCCTAGGTGCTCGCTGGTTTCTATTCAAGGAAGGTGCCAAGAAAACAAAAGGCGCTAGATCACACGAGTATGTGTCAAGACCCCAACAACGGTTCGGCTTTCCTTTTGGTTTCCCCCTTTAACCAACCTGAATGCTGCTGCCAAGGGTAGCCTCACGAAAACGCAGCCCCATATGGGTGAGTTATGAACATTCACCCACCTGAAATGAGGAACCTTCATGGTCGTACGGCCGCAAACCCCGCCCATATCTTTCATTGCACACCTGAAATGCATCGCAACGCTGGAAGTCCGAGGGCGGGACCGAAATCGGAACCCAAAGTAGGTCGTGGAGTGATCAAGTCCATCTGTTGTTCGAACGCTGAAAACCAATGGACCTAAGGTGTAGCAAAAGGCGAGAATGCCTCAGTCACGCACTTCGGTGTGGGTCTGTCTCATGATTCGGAAGTCCACCGAAGTGTCACCGACATACCGCTGCTCACAAGCAATGAACACCATTTTGCGGAGATACAGGCTTGGTTTCTTTTTGTTGAGGTTCAGAACCCCAGAAAACATGTGTGTTGTTTTTTTTTTTTGCGGGAATCAAACGAAAACTTCTCATTTTGGCGTCTCGAGGCGAACTCGTTCTCAAGGCTTCGATTTGGCTAGGCTCCCCGCAGAGCCCCTTTTGGGGAAACCGACCATTGGGTCTAAGTTCCCGGGGTGGATCAAGAGATGGATCTCGAAACCTGAAAGCAATCCAAGGACTCCAACCTCTTCACACACCCAAAACAGGCCAAATCGCGCGCGCCAAATCGCTTCGAAGCCTCTTCACACCCAAATAGAGCTTGAACTCGGCCCCCGCAAACTTGCCCGGGATCCTTTGTAAAGCCCCCCCCACCCAAAACACCCAAAACACCCTCATTCATGCGCGTGCCCAATCTCTTCGCCCCCACACAAGCGGGGGGAATCTTGCAAAGCCTCATCACACGCCCAAAAAAAAATCACCCTTCAAACCGCCCGCACGAATGGAGGGATCCTTTGTAAAGCCCCATCCCTGGCCTCCGCGCCAGCTCATAGCTGATGTCCGTGAAGGTCAGGTCCTGAGCTCGACGGGACCAGCGCCGCCCAGGTGAAACACGATGCGACAGAACTGGGTGTGTGTGTGTGTGTTTTGGGGGGGACCCCTTCAAAATGGCTTCGGTTTTCCCTTTGCGTTCCCACAAAACAAAGGACGAGCACCTTGGAAGGCACCTTCTGAACTCCTTCTGTTCGGTTTTCAGGGTGCCCCCCTTTCACGCACACCCCACCCATTTTCCCCAACCGTCGTTCACCAAAGCTGGCTTCATCCAGTGGCCACTTCACCCGGGATTCTGTTGCTGGTTCAATTAGGGAAAGGATCCCTGCTCCATCACGTAGAAGTGCCGATTCAAGAAAAGAAGTGTAGCTGGCTTGCAAAACGCATCATCAAACCTGGCCGCCGCCATCATGAACAGGCTTGCGCCGCAGCATAGACTTCAACAACTAGTCACGGGTCTATCCGGCTTCAACGGGTCAAAATTGCGCATGGCTAGCTGGTGTGTGACCTTGCAGCACTCATGCAGGTTCTGCAGCTGCATCTCCATTGGTCCCGCGCACTTGCCAGTTCCCGAGCCTGCTCAGCAGCAGGTGATCCCAAGTCGGATTCATCGCAAGCAACCCGCAACGGGCAACGAGCAACGAGCTGGAACAAGTACCATTTGAGGGAGGACTCCCTCAAACACAGTTACAGAACACAAGTTACATGATCATAGAGCTTGGATGCTAGCAATTGGCCAGAAAGTCTTGGCCCGAAAATGGTTAAGGGGATTCCCAATTTCACCAGTCAGGCGTACTCCACAATCTTTGGCAGGGATGTCACCAAGGTAAAAGCTTCCGGCAAACCCGGTCATCCAGCCGCGCGTTGCCTTCCACCAAAACTCACGACAATCTTCGGGGTCTCTCCAAAAACAAGATCGGCCTCCCTTCAACTTCCCCATAAATCACCAACCACAAGTCGGGGGGTCGAAAAAAAACCCAAAATTCCATTTCCCCCCTCAAAATTCAAGCCCAAAAGTTGGGGAGGGGGGGAGGAGTCCCTTCTTCCCCTCGGCTTCCCCTGAGAAAAAAAAAGAAAAGCGGCAGCCAAGGTCCGAGGTCCGACGTTGTTTGGGGCCCCCCAGCATCCACGCCCGACAGGCTGCCAACGGGACCGGAGCCCTGACCGGCCGCGGTCTTAGGCGAGCGTTGGGGGAGCCGCTGGCATCGTTTGGCCATGGGTCAAAAGCCCGGTTATCCCCAGTGAACATCCGATTCAATCCAACCACAAAAATAGGTTCGAAAATGGGCGGTGCATTCCCCCATTCGCCTAGCCCAAAATGGTACCCTTGGTGTTGACCCACAACCATCTCATGCGAACGGTGTCCTGCAATTGTTGTTCGGACTCGGCGAAGAAACTCAGAAGAGTCATGACCGGCACCAATCCCTTAGCATGATGTGGCATGAGCTTCTGGAGAAAGAAAACAAATAGATGGGTTTCCCTGGCAAATGGATGGCATGAAACCCATCTAAACCAGTGGAAGCCATCTATTTCATTGCCCAAACTCACCGATCAAAAGTTGACACCTATGGAGTCTGTCCTCTTCGTCACAAGTTGAATCTGGGTCGAGCCTAAGAGTTCGGGGTTCCACGTTACCATTGGTGCAGTTTGCTTACTTTAACTTTTTGCCAGCTAATGGGTTTTCCGTATTAAACCCTCAAAGTCAAACTTTTAGTTCTCCAATACACCACTCAAAGCTAAAAACTCTTAGCAGGGGAGCAGAAAGCAACCGAGCTGCCATCTTCCCGACGCGCCCAAAAACTGGGCTGATCCCCCAACCTCCTCAATCAGCTTTCTACTTGCTTGGAGCCAGGTGCTTAGAGGTGGGCCGGGGGAGTGTCCCTTTTGCCCACGGCTATCCAAATCCAAATCAATCCTGGGCTGCCCGTTTTTCGGATCCCCCGCCAAAAGTGACGAACTTTTGGTGGGCGAAACGGAAACTACCACTAAACACTAAGAGGCAAGGCTAAGGGGATGGCTGGGAGCCACCAAGATAATCCAAACCAGCAATTGTCAGTGTCCCTCTAATTGGTGGCTTGGATTAGGGGTTTGGTGGCCAATGAGTGGTTTCCCATCTACCCTCTACGAGAACCAGACGTTCAAATCCAAATCCCAACCACCACTCCAAACCACCAACTAAGGGTGATCTGACAATTGGAGGGGAGCTGACATCACCTCTCTTCTGAGTGCAAAATCTAGTGACATCCGCAAAATCTGGGCGCACATGTCATGTCTTTCAGAAAACTGCCCCAACAAATCCCCCACCCCCCCCCCAAAAAAAAAAAAAATGTGGAAAAAAAAAGAAGTCCGCGTCCTCAAGATAAGAATGCGAACTCGGCGAAGTCGGACATGGAGCCCGAGCCCTTCTCAGGTCCATGCAAACTGGGCTGCCCTCAGATCCCCCGCTAAAAGTTTAATTTTTAGTGGGTTGAATGGAAACTACCACTAAACGCCAAAAGGCTAAAAAGCTAAGGAACCGGATGGCTGGGAGCCACCAAGAAAACCAAAGGATCCGCATTCCGCAGGCGAAGGGAGGGCGCTTTTCGAGCGTGCCTTGGGCTCTCGCGCGTACGCGAACAGGAGCAGGAGCGCCTGCGGTGCTCCCGAACCGAAATGGGAGTCAAGGCGCAAAGATTGAAATGGGGACGAAGTGAAGAAATGGCCATGGGTCAAAATCCAAATCGTACCCCCAGTGAGCATCCCAATCCCCACTAAAATAGGTTCTAAAATGGGTGGTGCACCTACCCCCAAATGGTACCATTGCTTTTGACCCACAGCCAAATGACCCTGGAACCACATTGCCATGGAACCTGAACCAGTGGAAGACGTTTTTCTTCAAGAGGGCCCCTCTGGTGAGTTCCATGGAAGTGGACAGGAGGCACCCATCCCCTTTCAGCTTCCGTTTAGCAATGATCTTCAGGAGTGGGTGGCACTAACCAGATGGTACAGATGGGGTCCTTTCGGATGCTACACTCATGATTGTTGTTGCCAACAGTCCGAACCCGAAAATATATATATATATATATATTTAATAAAAAAAAAAAAAAAGTGCAAACCCTGCAAGGACTGGGTCCCTCCAAACACCTAACACGGGTCACATATTTGACCCGCCTGGACCGAGACAATGTCTCAAATCAAGTAAAATCACCCAGGATGATACGTTGAAATGAAATTCCCTGAATATCACCTTCTCGCAACCTACAGAAAGGGTCAATCTACCCCTGTCCCGCCACCTTCAACATGGATCACTGGAGTTTCCCCTACAGTTGATCAATCTTCTGGTTTTTCTTGAACCTGCCAGCGTTTGAGGTTCCGAAAAGAAAAACGTCTCAGAAACCTTCCTCGCGCGCGCTTTCCGACGTCCCCCACGTCCACGGACCCCAAAAAGTCCCCCGGCCGCGGGGGTCGTGGCCCACAGGACCAGGCCCACGCCGAAGCTCAAGCCCTGGCTCGCATCCCAAGGATCATGAGGGCTGGGAGGGAGGGAGGGGGAGGCGGAGGGAGCCCAAATAAGCACTTATTAAGCCCTTAAGGCCTTATTTAGGGCTTATTTGGGCTCCCCCCCCCAGCCCCCATGAAAGGATGGTCGTGTAGAGGGTCTTTGGGATAACGTTATAGGAGACCGCGCTCATAGTACCCCCTAACCTTTGCGGTGTTACTGGATCCAGACTTTCTGCGGTGTTACTCTCATCAATTGCGGTGTTGCTGACAATGCTGTTCATTATAGAACTCCTGAAAAAGGTAGGTACCACTAAAAGGGGTGGGTAGTTGAGAGCCCAGTTTCGGGTTTGCTTGGTTTTCTGTAGGGTTTCTTGTCTGGAGCCTTAGGGAACCCCCCCCCCACCCCCGCTTAGGGATTTCCCGAGTTCAGCTCTCCCAAACCCAAGGGGCCCTTCCTTTCGAATGAGGAGGGTAGATCGTCGTGTGTGAGGGTTGTGGCTTTTGGGGAAAGGGACACCTGGCCCAATGTTTGAGAATTCCAGAGACAAACCTCAGGCACTTTGTCAAAAAACGAACTGCCAAACAGTTGATGTGTGTATTTGTATACATGTGTATATATATATAGATAGATATACGTATCTTACATATTTGTGTATATGTTTGTATATGTCCCCACCACGTGTTTAGCTAGCGGCGGGTATGAATATGCATATGTATATGTATATGCACATGTGAATGTAAATGCATATGTATATGTATATTCATGTGTATGTGTAAAAAAAAAAAAAAAAAAAAAAAAAAAAAAAAAAAAAAAAAAAAAACATGTTCACCTTTACGTTGGTTGTCTGAACCCAGTACCAAGCCCAAGCTTTCAGGGGTCAAGAAGACCATTGCATAATTTGCGCGCCGGCCTTCCTTAGATGTGGTAGCCGTTTCTCAGCCTCCCTCTCCGGAATCAAATCCCCATTCTCCGTTACCCGTCATCGCCACGGTAGGCCAATACCCTACCGTCGCATCGTGTTGTATCCGCATCCAAACACTTCGACCAATGATGAACCTGTGAGTTGAGGAAACAAAAAGACCCAAGCCCAGCGCAAGTGCCCACGTAAAAGCGGCAGTTGATTCCGATAGAAAACGGGGCGCCCAGTCCGAATCAAGTAAAGAGTTGGCGGCCGCGCCTATGGTTGGAACTATTCGTTGCTAACCTTCACTTATCCGTTGTGACTCACATTTGTCTTGCTGGTTCTCAGCAGGGAATGAGGGGATGAGCCCTATAAACCATCTGGTTTCCTTTAGGGGAATCCCAAAACGGTTCATTCCAAAACAAAAACAAAAAACGCGGAAGGGTCAGTCCCTACCTCTCGCACCAAGGTGTTGAACCCACAACAAGGCCAGGGGCTCCCCTCAACTCCCCACCCGGAATCCGGAGACTTGGCCCAGGAATCGCCTTTTCTGGTCGGATGAAGAATCCTGGCGATGGGATGCACGCGGATGGGTTCATCTCCCAAAAGAAACGCCCTTCAAAACATATCCCTTTGGTCATAGGAGGCTGTTTGGTAAAATAGATGGGTGTCCCTGGTAAATGGATGGCATAAAGCCCATCGGACACATCTATCTCGACACCCTTTGGTGAGTGGTTTCAGTGGTTTCCCTTCCCGGCTTCCTTGTCAAACCTATCCACTACCACGTTCACGGGCTTGTTCTGCCTTGGACTCTTTCAAAACCCGCCAGGAATTCTATCACCCCCCCCAAAACAAAAACAAAAAAACTCCCGCCAAGGAAAGCACCAACACGTTTCAGACTTTGACCTCCAGAACAGACCCACAATAATAACCCCCAGTCCCTTTCACTTGCAGGGATAAGAAAAGAAGATGATTTGTCCCACAAAATGGGACAAGTTACCCATGTTCACTTGGTGGCCGAACGGAACATTGATCAACCCCCGCTTGGGGTGCGGAACAAAAGCCCAGGTATCCCCAACTGCCCCGGAACCTCTGCCCAAATCCATGGCTTTCAGCTGTTGGGGGAAAAAAAACACACAACTGCCAACGCCTGAAGAAGTATCTGGCCTTGTTTTGAATAGGGCGCTGAGGGGGTGGCCTGTCTTGGTACTCGGGGAAGCGGGTGACACAGTGACACACCACTCAACCCCACTGCGTTGCCAAAGGCCGACGGCCAAATAAGAGTTCGTGAAAGTCCCTGTTTCGGTCGGATGCGCATTTTGGTCGGATTTGCATTTTGCTTGGACTTGCAGTTTGCTTGGATTCGCATGCTCATCTTTGAGGAATCCCCCCGCTTCCTCTCCATGGGGGTTCGAAAAAAGCCAAGGCACAGGTCCCTGCGACCCGGCTCAGTCCGCCCTCCCGAGGCCAGGTCCCCGGGCCCATGAGCATGGCAGCTATGGCCGGGATCACCTCGTGCCGAAACGAGGCGGACATCGATTTATCTCCCAGCGAGCTGAGCTGTCGGTGTTCAGATCCGTGGCCACAAGTGGATCACTTGTGGGTTGGAGAAGGAAACCCCACCAGTACACCAACTAGAAGCCTAAAAACCCAAGGAGATGGCTGTGAAACACCGAGTCTTGCGGTTTTAAAAGGAAACCAAAAGGAACAAAAAAGTGTGTGCCCTCACAAAAAAAGTGGGTGCCCTCACAAAACAACAGACCTGTATGTTGTGTTTCTTGATTTTCTACGGCAACCCCCTCAGAAATGAATGACCCCTCTCGCTTAAGCTTCCAGCGGCGAAGCTGAGCAGGTGCAAGACCTGGCATGAATCAGCGGTTCACACAAGGATACCTCCAAAATATGGCTGTGGCTCAAAACTTAAGAGACAGGGTTACGCAGGTTTTGGTCTTTGGTTGCATTTACCAGGGGGCCATTTTGTGTACCGGTTTTTTGAGCCACAGCCATATATCTGATTTAGAAGAAAACCGTCTAAATCAGCTGGTACTTGGGTGATATGTTTGAGCTGGCCCAAATGTGAAAGACACTTTTGATCATTCCCTAAACGCTCATATCTCGACTCGGTGTCCGGTCGGATTCATTTTCTTGTGTGTCACAACCGGGTGGTTTTTCTTGAACCGCCCTATACACTAAAATTCAACAGAACCAAATAGACACCAAACCCAAAAACATGCCAACAACAGTGCAGTTGTCTGAAGGATCACGAGCCGTTTCAGGGCCAGGGGCCTTCTTGTAGACCGAGGGTGTCATGCTGATGGCTGAAAGACTGGCTCCTTGTCACTTACATTTTACACGGCATGGCTGCAGGGAAGATGCCAGGCTCCTGCTGAGGTTTCGTTGAATGTCACTCCGCTGGCACATGTCTGATCGTAATCCTAAGCACTGGAGGATTCTAAAAAAAAAAAAAAAACAATCAAAGCAAAGTGCTTCTTGGGCAAGGGCGCCAAAGAAAAAGTGGCCCATGGGCTTTGCTCTGGCATTTCATGAACTCAACCATGACCAACTTGGGCTTCAGCCAGAAAGCCTCTCCAGGCCCGTCTCGGGGCCAACGTGTCCGAAACGATGGGGTCAAAACGAGATCGCCTTTTCTTTGTCACCACCGCCCACTTCGCGATACGAATATTTACAGAAGAAATGGCCTGAAAAGGTTGGCTTCCACTTGAGCTGACGATGTTGCCACAGGAAATGGCCCACCCAATTCCGACACCCCATCAGCCTGCAAAAATTTGAGGCGAAAAAAACAAAATGGGCCCGCCCGAAACCTCGAATTCACCCCTGGTAGTCCCCCGGAATATTTGCCCCAGGTCCATGGCTCAAAGAGACCCCCCGCCCCTTGCCAAGACCCCGGCCAAGACCGTGGAGGCCGACGAGAAGGAGCGCAAGTACCTCGACTCAACTCGAATCAGACGACGAAATGTTTTTTCTTTCGGCAGAGACTCGGGCACCAAATGATTTGTTTTGCCTCCGAAGCCTCGAAATGTGTGGCTTTCCCCTGGGCCCTTTAGTTTCAAAGAAGACACACCCAAAGCAGTGAGGAAAGCTAGAGGTGGCTGGTCTGACAAATAGGTAAGGTCCAATTCGGTGTGACTACACTGGCAGTGAACCTGGCAACTTTTGTCCTGTGCACAATGTGCCCCCCTCCATGCACCATTTCCCTGGCACCCTATTGGGGATACGCCTCCCCCTTCCATACATGTGGGGGCGGGCGGGGGGGAGAGATGCTTCTTCGAACGAAGTGTGTCTTGGACGCGGATATTCCAGGGAGCCCACCGGCCGAGGAAGGTGCCCAAGTTTGCCAAAACTTCAGGCCGTCCATCTGAAGTTTGAAGTTGTAGATGCCGGTTGAGCTGTTAAGTTGCATCGTGATATCTTAACGAATGTGATTTCCCCTTCGGCTTCTATTCAACACAAAACCTGAAAGGGTACCCTGAAAAAGACGGATCATGTGAGGTCCACGTGTCTAAGGGGACAGCTGGGAACCAGCAAGTAACATGGACGAGTTCCTGGAAGACCATTCTCTCCTTTGCCATGGACCATTCTCTCTGGTGGGTTCCATGGCAATCGTGAAACTCGATTTTGGTGTTTCTTCTATTTTCGGTTTCCAGCACATTTTTCTTTTAAGATGCCCATTTGTTCGTAGACAGCTTATGGGGGAGAAAAACACTAAGAAACCGAGTAGAGGATACCCGGTGTTGGCAGGAGGAAACGGAAAAGCCGGATCTCCAAACCGAGGCGGATTTTGTTTTTCAGACAAGCCGAAGGAGCTCAGCAGAGACCTACAAACCTTGGCCCTGTCATCTCTGAAGGATCCACAGGTTCAGCTGCATGTCCCCCTATTAGACAGGGATCCGGATGCATGAAAAACACCGATCGAACATTGCAACTTGTAAATGGTGGTTGCAACCTTTACTTTGGTGGAAAAAGCAACATGTTTCAAATGGGCAAGATGTATCTTTTAAGGAGCCCTATTAGACCAAATCCATTTCGCAGCACCTCAGAAACAACGGGAGAAACCCCGTTCTTGGTTGGCATTTGCAAGGGAATTTCCAGGGCTTCTGAACGGTGGTGCAGGATTTCGTCCATCCACGGTATCAAAGGAACAGCCTTCAATCGGCAGATGGGATGTCTGAAAGCAAAGGAGAAAGATAGGGTCTTTTGGCCCGGTTCTGATCTAAAAGATCCTACTTGGATGTGCCCATGTTGGCTTCAAGGAACCTCTTTTCTTTGGCAAAGATAAACTTCAGGGAAACCAATCGTTCGGAGGTTCCATAGTTTGAGACCAGCACATCCTGTCATATCCAATGGACTTCAGAGGTCTTAAGCAAAGGGTTTCCTCTTGGCTTCCCTTAAACCAACTCAACAACGGGTACCCTCAAAAAACAAACCCACATGGAAGCACCAGGGTTCTCGAGGAAAACTACATGTGAGTGTCCACATCCTGGCGTAGCAAGGAAGGACCCCCAAACATCAATCGAAGGACGTCTTTGACTCCTACCAGGTTTGTCTCAAAATTGGGGGACATCCACTCGGTTGCCTTTTCGTTTCCCCTTTCGTTTCCCCTTTCACCCAACCAAACCGGGGGTTTTGAGGGGGGGCAAAACCTGCCTCCCAAAGCAGAGCCACGGCTTCCATCGCACCCAGTGGCTTGAGCCCGAAACCGACGAGGCACGAGGGCATTGAGGTCATCAGCACCCCAGCGGAGATGGGGAGCAGGGCGCCTGCGTTCGGTCGAATTCGAATTCGAGCTGAATCCTTTGTCCAGAATCGAACCAAAAACAGCGGGAGCAGGGGAACCACCCCGGAGTTTGTGAAGGTTCGTATCGTTTGGAGCCGAGGGCACAAATGTCTTCCGTGGCAGGAAGATGTGGATGTCCCTTCAACACATCCCGATCGAAAAGTGAGTGCCAAGAGTGCCTGTGACACCCGTCGCCCAGTCACTCCAATGGGGGTGCCCCGGCTGATTCTTCGCAGAACCCCAGGTCGATGAATACCGGTTGCAACCCATAACGGCATCCCATCTGAGACACATGGCAAGGTGAAGGGGAAGCCAAACCAAAATCCTTGGGGGTTTGGTGGACTTCAAAATCCGGGGATGAAGATGCACACCAACCACAGCTTTCAGCTGTTGGGAGAAAAAAAAGAAAAAAAACACCACACAACCGATAGTCGCCTTCCTAGCATCTGGCAACTTGTTTGGCATAGGGCCCACTGGGGGAAGCGGGTGACAAACCAAGCGACACCACCTTTCAGCTGTCGGGGGGAAAAACCAATCGACCCTTGGACCACCCTCCCCCAAATGGGATTATATTTCCCACATGGGAAAAGTTACCCATGGTCATTTCGGGCGGGCAAAACAAACACAAAACCAGAAAACAAAACCAAAAGCCAAAGCCAAAAACCAAAACCAAAACCCATGTCCATCTGGGGGCCAAACCAAAAAAAAAAAAACGCCCATCAACCCGCGGAAACCGCCCGCCGCAGGGCTGCCTGCGCTGAAGAGCCAGCAGGCCAGCAGGCACAGCCGCAGCGCGAAGCTCTCGGAGGCACCTCGGCTCGGTTTCGCGCGTCTCCGGCGCGCGAAACCGCGCGCGAGCGCTGGCGGTCGGTTGGTTTGGCGCGGCTGGTTTTCATCTTGTCTCAACCAAACCACACCACGGTGGCAGGAAAATGCTGACCCAAAACTCGTAGAACAGTATAGGTTCCAGCAGGATATTGACTTTTCTGTGCCGTAGACTACGTCATGTTTGGTGATTTGCGTCGGATCCGTCGGTGACCGTTGCTCCGTAAGCCAAAAGGCCAAAGAACGCGGTCCCTTCACGTGGCAAAGGTTTGGCTTTCAAGGAGTGGCAGCCACCCCAGTGATGCAAGCCACTTTTGTGGGCCGAGAAACACCATCTAGGTACAACTGCCCTGCCTTTGGTGGCAGCTAGAAGCACCAACTGCATCTTTGAGTGGTCCCAAAAAGCAGAACGAACCCCCAAAAAGGCCATGAGAGTTGTGATGTGTCCGGGGAACATGTGTCGAGCCAAGCTCCCCCTTGTCGCCCCTTGAACCATCTGGCAATTGTTTCACCCAACCTACGAATTCTAGCTCCTCCAGAGGTTAGAGTAAGGGTACCAACTTTGTCTTCTTTTTTTTCGGTAGCCCATTCAAGTAGGGGAACCGAATCTCCCAACCAACAAAGTTGGTCAAAAGGCACCAATTGCTGGGGGACCTAGCTTCACTTCGCCCCCCGACCTCTGAGAGAAAGGGCACCTAGCTGGGGGACCTACGAATTGATCTCAAATAAGCCCCCAACTTGGCAAGGGTTTCCCAAACAACACCCGCCCCGGTTTAAGGGCGACTCTAAAAGGCAAACACTCATAGGTACACCAAGAACACAACGGTAAACCCCAAGCGAACACAAAGGTGAAGGTGCACAAAGAACACAAGTAATCACCCTCTCATTTGTGAACCCCCATAGTGAAGAGAAAGGCAAATCGCTTACCTCGTGCAGGATTTCATCCTGATTCCTGCAAATATGCGGGTCAACTCGTTTGGTCATTCTTGCCGTATATGAACGCATATGAAATTTATTCGGTTGTTGTGCATTAAACGAACGCTGATGTGAACCTCTTGCTTTCGAACAAGCAGCTGTGAAAATGTCCATAGCCGGAAGCTCTTCGCATGCCGGTGCTGGACGACATATCGAAGGTAGCATGCCTCTTAAAAGGTCTACGCTCCAAAGCAAGTTTGGGGGGTGGAAGCCAGGGGAGGCTATGTGGCCATGAGCAAAATCCAAATCGTACCCCCAGTGAACATCCCAATCCCCACTAAAATAGACTAAAATGGGTGGTGCATCTACCCCAAAATGGTAACAAAACGGTTTTGACCCACAGCCATGTGAGAAATCAACATGAAACCATTCGATCCGGAGCTCGTACAATCCCAGCCGCCCGCTTTCCAGCAATCATGGAAGTGAACAGGATATTGCTGGAAGACTACCATCCTCTTGGAAAGAGCCCTTATCCATGATTGTTGGAAAAACTGGTAACCTTCTGAGTTTGTTGCACATTGATTTGCGCGATTTGCAACTTGGCCAATTTGGAGAAACACCCATTGGAGGTCGCTGCAGAAAATGGGTGGGCGCCTCGGTCTCCTTTGGATAGGCCCTCAACAACCCTCGAAAAGAGGGAACGCTCAAAAGATACCCACACACACAGACATGGCTGTGTCTCTCAAACAGGGCTCTCAGCCAAAACAAACGTGAGTCTCTCTAAGGGGGTTCCCCAGAAAAACCGTGAGCCTCTCTTTCTTCTCTGGTCATAGTTTTTAAACCCACCAAAAAGGGGTTTCCCAGAAACACAACGAGTTTCTCTTTCTTTTCTCCGGTCAAAAAGTTATTGTGTCAGCTCCTTTGGTCATTTCGCACATAGGTGTCCTTTTTGGAAAAATTGATGGCCCTGGTAGATGATTGAACCACCAGGTAAACCAGGAATCGCCCTCTATCTGTAAGCAAACCCACCAAAAAGAACACCTATTTTTCTGGTATTAGTAATAGTGTAATAGTCGTCTCCCACCAAAAGGAGGGGCGGACGGTTTCTGGGTACTCTAGTGCTTCTTTCCAGGGATCCTTCTTTCTAAAAAAGCTCCGGAAACCTGGGGAAACGGCCGGTTTTTTGAGAAGAACGATGGTTGAAAAGAATGGGGAATCAACCCTTAGAATTACAGAGAAGAAAAGAGAAACTCACTCTCTGTTTTTTCTTAACCCCACCTTGGGCCCCATTTTGGCCCCCCGGCTGTTCAGTGGGCCGCACAGCGCCGCCAGCGCCGCGAAGCCGCAGGCCACGCGCAGCGCCGCCTCGGCCGCGCTGCGCGTGGCTCGTCTTTCGTGAGACGTGGCGCGCGGGGCCCCGTTTTGGGTAGGTGTGAAGGGGAAACCAAAGGGACAAGCCACCAACTTGGATGGGTTTCCTTGAAAATGACACACCCATATGAACCCAGCCATGTTCTGAGATGTGATCAACAACATAACCCCCTGCTTTGGTTTTGGAGACGTGCTGCCCGGGGCCCCGTTTTGGGTGGGTCTTACCCTCGCTCCCACTATCTCCCAGACTAACATGGAAGCTCCCTAAACCCCTTGGAAGGCTTTTCTGGGAGTTTCCTATGTGAGTCGTAATCAAAACCGATCGGTACAGAAATGGTCGAGGAACCACGCTTCAAGAGTTAAGCAGGCGGATCTCCGCAGCTACTTTTTTGGCAAGTTCTCCCTTACTACCCTCCAATTACCCGGGTTTTGAGCACGTGGCTCATGTTAGTCTGCGGGAGTGTAACACGGCACCTGACAGGGACCCGGTCCCTACAAAGAGGAAAATGATCTTCCAGGTACCCTCCCACAGGTGCTATGTTAGTGGAAGGGAGGGTAAGGGGAAGCCAAAAGGACCACCCACCCAATTTGCAGGGTCCCGCAAAAAAGGACCCACCCATGTGAACAAGGAATAACCCAAAGGTTTTAGTGGTGCAAGACCAAGGAATGACCAAAGTTTTGGGACAAAACCTACAGATTCCCTTAAAGAAAATCATGAGAGCTTTGCTTGGGGTCATTCCAATTCTCATTCCCTCCTGAGAACCAGCAAGCTTTTGGTTTTAAAGGGAAGCCAAGAGAAGAACAAACCAATTTGGAGGGTTTCCTTCACAACGACACACCCATATGAACCCAGCCATGTGCTGAGATGTGATGAAAAACCATGTCCATGCCATTGAAATGTATCTTGAAGTCAATGGGAGGGTAAATCTAGGGGCTGATACCCTCTGCAGATTTGCAACTTGGGATTTTGGATTTCCCGGCCTTTTCCAGCAGGGTCCATTGAATCTACGCTCGAGCCTGTCGTCCCAAATGATGCCCCAACATGGTCCGGTTTCCCATATCAGCGTCCATCTCTCATTGATTTGGATTGGTGGAGATGAGAGTTGCAGTTTCCCATTTACCCTCTACAAGAACGGGTGTCAAATCCAAATCCAAAGCAACAGCTACCGGGAACTCCGAGATAAGGCACGGCCAAATGAAATCTCAGATCAGTTCTTGATATCGCTCCTGCGTGAGTCAAATCGACATTTCTCAAAGGGACCCCTCAAGTTGGTACATGCTCCCCAAGAGGTCGACCATCCATGTTCAGCCATATCCTTCCAGATATTCTCCCACAAATGCTCTGGCTGAATGAAAGCTAACCGTGGAAAAAGTCTGATCTGTTGGCAATAGGCGCCGTTGCTCCCAGGGAATGGCCCGCAAAAAAAGAAACCCACTCGCCGAGCGGGCTTTGTCACAGAGAAAGGGGGCCGAGGCCGTAAGACGTCCGCAACTGGATGCAAGCAGCAAGGTGCCAGACAAAAGAAGCTGCAGGATCCCAAACCTACGCCGCTTTTCTGGCTCTCAAAACATAGAATAACCGGAACATTCCAATTGGGTGGGGGATTTTGGCCACCGAATCCCACGCGATCTCCAACGATCCTGGCATGGTTGTAAGTAGCCGCGGCAAGTAAAGCTGCCAAATGCATCGAAAAATATCGTGTCCAAATTCCACTCGCCAACTGTGAAAAGAAGTGCTGGCAAAGTGCAGGCGTCTCCCATGCCAACTGTCAAGGTTGCTGTACCCCTAGAGGTGCATTCCTAATGGCTCCATGTACAGCCACATATATGTATACATATACATATACATACACATACACATACACATATTCATATTCATATACATATACATATACATATACATATGGTCCCCCCCAAAAAAAAGAAAACTACAGGTTTGTGGTCCCCCAGTGAATTAAGGACCGGTACAACCCTACCTGGCCGCCTCTGTTCGACCTTTTATTGGGATTGTTAACCCAAGCGGAGTTTGCCTATCCTAACGGGGGCACCAGACAATAGAATGAAGCGAGAAACATGAACCAAATCCTGCGTAACCCCTCCTTTCAATTTTGGGCCACGCCCATTTTGGTTACTTTTGGTCATGTACGAAGGCGGCGGCTAAGAAAAGGAATGAAGAATATGGGACGGAGAGAGTGAACGGTCTATCTCTCCCCACCCTGCTCTCGCATATTGGTGCAGCGAGAGAAAGGGATGGGTCTCTCTCTCTCCCTCTCTCTTCATCCGACGGAATGGAGATGGAAGAGGGGGATGGGAATGAAAGGAGGATGAAGAGTTATGTCATATCTCTTTCCAAATCTTTAGTGGCGTTGCTCGTTTCTATGGTCACCGCTTCTCCTTTTCATTTCTCGCTGGAACTTCCGACCTCCAAATTGACCTGCTTCACAAGCTAGGTCCTCCAGTAGAGAGGTTAGAATAAGGGCACCCTTTTTTTCTGCAGTCTATTTCGTAGGGGAACCCTCCCCCAAGAAAGTCGGCCAAAGGGCACGATCCTGGAGCTTTTGAGGCTCCGGGCGGCATGCATGCCCGCCTGGACGCTCGCTCGCACGACTTTCCGGGATCCCGGGTCTTGAGATCCGTTTGACCCCCGTGGTTTAGTGGTGATCCGGGGTCATGTTCCTTTGTTCCTTTCGGATACGACTTTTCACAAATGGCGCCAATCGGAACCAGTTCTTGTGGATCTTGTGGATATTTTCTTTGTAAGCCTTTGACCACCGGCTATTTCGGCCAAGGGTTCAACCAACCTTGCATATGGTCGATTCCCTAGAACAAGGATTCGCCTTTCCCGGTGCCCTGAAGGAAAGAGCTTGTCATTTTGGATATCGCGTTCGCGAATCATTCTTTTTGGACGCTTCTCCGCCCAACATGCCGAGATCCTGCAAACAGAACTCCATTTCGGGTGACCCGGTGAATGAATTCCAACAAGTGGGTTCCTTTCAGATGGGTGCAAGCGATCGGATCACTTTTGTTAGAACTCGCTTAGGGTCCCCTGAGTCGTAAGCTGGAAGCAAAAGCCCCAACCACCGCCCCCCCCCCCCCAACTGCCCTCAAAGTCTTGTGAAGAAACACTCCCCAAGCAAAAAAGATGCAATTAAGTGGAACCGCAGAGAAACCGCCAGAAGAGTCGGCAGTTTCTTCGCTTTGCAACCGGCAACCCTTTTTAAAGGCGCCGCGACCCCCCCGTCCCCACGTCCGTTGCTGGACGCCTTGAAGCCCTCCACGCGATCGCAGGCGAGGGCCCCCACGTACCTGGAAGAAGGACCCACCGAGCGCCCGGAACCCGGGCGAGGACCTACGCCCCGCCCAAAGAGCCCCCCCCCCCCCCAAAAGACTAAAAAAAAAAAAAACGACAAGCCGAGGGACACCTTCACTCAGATCTCCCCCCCAACACCCTCGGCCTACTGCCAGACAAAGGACCCCGACCGAGCCGGTAGCCGGCGACTCCCCCGACCTCGCGACGACGCCGCCCCAGAAGCCGGAAAGCCGAGGGACAAAATTCACCAGCCACCGAAAAAACCCAGGGGAAGCAAAAGAAGAGCCTTTTGCGAAGACGTCCCCTGGGGGAAAAATGAGAGAAAGTATGTCCGGTAGATTCCCTTTAAAACCGACAGGGGAAAATACACACCTGTCTTAAGCAAACGAGAAGCCACCAGAAGCCACCTGAAGACCATTCGGGAAGAATGATCCGCGACCTCAGAAACGACCCAACGCGACACGCTCGTTGGCTAAAGATCCAACGTTGGGGATTGAAACCAGCAGACCGACCAAAAAGTTGGCGCGTTACAAGTCTTGACTGAGGGCCCTGTGCGAGAAGACTTGCACCACATGTACAGACCTTTGCTTCCCTGCAGATCGACATGGATCCCAAAAGCGGGGAGTCCCAACAGGGAGATTCCTCGAGAAATGGTCCCAGGGGTTCCATGTGAATCTGCAAACCGCATGCCGATTGACATGTCGCTTTCACGGACCCCGCAGACCAGGAACGTGATTTCGATTGGGTGCGAAGGTGAACCGAGAGGAAGCCAAGAGGAAGCACCTATCTTCAGACCCGCATCCTTGCTGCTCCCGTAAAGAAACTTGAGCGCGGGAACGAAAGCAATCAACAAGCACGTCAAGCCCACGATCTTGCCTGGCAAAAACAGAGGAACCTCCTGCATCTCATATTAGCATGAAAGCCGGCCCACTGCCGCACAGAATTGCTAAGCATAGCTCAGGGAAGACAACTCCAGCAATGCTTTCGTGAAAACGGGCAACCAAGGGTTCGGCGTCTCTGCTAGGTCCCCCAGTAGAGAGGTTAGAATAAGGGTACACGTTTTCTGTAGTCTATTTTAGTAGGGGAACCCTCCCCCAAGAAAGAAACGGTCAAAGGGCACCTAGCTGGGGGACCTAGTCTGTGTTGGAGGTGAATAAAAAAACGCAGAGCCTCCGCGAAGCCGAGTTGGCGCACGTGCCAAGGGCCGGTAGGCAGGAGAGCACGAGCGCGGAGAGTAACAAAGACACCTCGGTCGTTGAACATCGGGGGGCAACGACCTGATCCTCCAGAAAAGCTCGGCCAGAAAAAGAAGCGGAAGGGATTTCGAGAATTCCCGTGCAGAGGTCGTACTGTTTTTTTTCAACACCAACAGTTCTCCTTCAGGAGAGCCTTTCGGCCCGGGTTTGGTCGTCTTTTGAACGAACATTTCAGGCACCGAAACCCCAGGCACGTTGCCGATTCCCTCGGCGCAACGATTCTCCTGGGCACGGCCCGAAAGCTCAAAGGCTTTCGAAGGAGACCCAGTCCTGCCATCGCCCCATTGGGCCCCGTTCCAAAAGATTCCCAGACTGGAAAAGCGCGTTTAAGAAATGAGGCATGGCCGCACAGTGCGGGGGATCCCCCAAGACTCGTTTCACTCTCTTTGGCGCTCAGAGGAAACACATCAAGGGACTATATCCCTGGCCTTTACCGCGCTTCAGACATCTGCCCCAGACTCTCTGGGATAGTGTCCCCTACCCCAAACCACTGGGGTATATACGGTATACACACCGTATATAGTGGCCTCTCTAGTGGCCATATCTCCCATTCAAGCCTCTGGGGAGTGATAGTAGCTTGGGGGTAGTGGATACCATCTGAAACACTCCTTGTGCAGATGCCGATCTCTCTGCTACAGGAAGGAACCTTCGATTCGAACCAGGAAAAAAAGCCGTGCTCTTGCTGGCTTCATGAAAGACAGGTTGGTCGCCTGTCCTGCCGTCCTGCCAACTGGTCGCTCCATTTTGCGAACCTTCATGACCCAAGATGTGCTTTGGGAAAAAAAAAAGGTAGATGGCACTAGGTTCCTGACCTGTCCTCAGCTCCGCTACATGTTGAACACTTTTCGTGGGTGCAATACAGAAACCCAACCACTAAACCACCTACAAAGAAAAGTGCGAAGGAACCGGATGAAATGACCTCTGATTCTGGTGTCAAAACCGCCACCCTGGGTTCCAAGAGGAAGCATCGGGAACTCAATTCCCGGCGGGGCCAAAAAAAACAACAACCGCGATATCATGACCTTCCTTCTGAGCAGCACCATCTAACTTTGGAAACATGTCAAACACTAGCCCTGGGTCACAACAATGATCGGATAGCTCACTGTTTTCTTGATAATTTTGCTAGGCATGGTCCGAAATCTGTCTCGGTTGCTTTCTGCTCCCCTGCTCGAAGCTTAACTTTTGGTGGTTTAATGGAACACCCACTAGTTGGCAAAAAGTTAAAGTCCTAACATCCAAGCAAGCTGCACCTGGTTTTATGTCTCTCTTGCGGCTGGAGCATCCCGGTCACCCGAACCACAAACTGACACCTTCGTGGGCCGCTGTGGCGGTATGCCACGAACGTGATGCTTCCTAGAAAAAAAAACTGAAAGGAAGAGAAAAAAACAACGCAGAGGAAAAAAAGAAAACCAAAAAAACAAGTGCGGGGGGGAAACACGGGCTTGTCCCAAAAAAACGATCTGGATTTGCAAGCCAAACCCCTGAAAAACCAATACAAGATGGTTACAAAAAGCACCCTAAGCCCCAAGTGCCGGGACACTTTTTTTCCCAACAAAGCTGAGGGAACATAAATCGCCAAAATGACCCGCAGGAAACCCCCAATGCAAGTTCATGGTGTCTCTTATTTGAAAATGGACCACACCCCCAAAAAAAAAAACGCCTTCTACTTGGCTTTTAGTTGTTGTCTTTTTCCGGCCGCGTGGCTTCTGCCCCCCCCCGAAAGCCCCAGAAGCCCCCGAAGCTTTCAAGAGAAACCCCCCCGCCGAAAAGAAGCGCCTTTGGCCGAGGGGCCAAAGGCGAGGGTGCGCCGGAGCTCAGCGCCAGGCTTTCAAGAGAAACCCCCCGAGCGCGGCGAAAAGGGGCGAAGCGCCTTTGGCCGAGGGGCCAAAGGCGAGGGTGCGCCGGAGCTCAGCGCCAGGTACCTCGGATGGAAACGCCAGAGGCACGGGTCTGGTGGGGGTGGGTGGGGGTCTGGTGGGGGTGGGTGGGGGTCTGGTGGGGGTGGGTGGGGGTCTGGTGGGGGTGGGTGGGGGTCTGGTGGGGGTGGGTGGGGGTCTGGTGGGGGTGGTGGTCTGGGGGTGGGGGGGGTGGGGGTCTGGAGGGGGTGGGTTGGGAGGGTCCTGGATAGGGGGTGGGTGGGGGGCTGGTGGGGGGGTGGGGGTCTGGGTGGGGTGGGTGGGGGGGTCTTTGTTTTGGGGTGGGTGGGGGGTCGGGTGGGGGTGGGTGTGGGTCTGGTGGGGGTGGGTGAGGGTCTGTGTAGGGGGTGGTGGGGTCAGGGGGGTTGGGTGGGGTCCTGGTGGTGGGGGGTGGGGTCCCTGCGTGTGGGGTGGTTGTGGTCTGGTGGGCGGTGGGAGGGGGTCTGGTGATGTGGTTGGTGGTCTGGTGGGAGGGTGGGATGGTGGGAGGGTGGGGGTCTGGTAGGGGTGGGTGGTGGCTGGGGTGGGGGTGGATTGGGGGTCTGGTGGGGGTGGTTGGGTGTCTGGTTGTGTGCGGTGGGTCTGGTGGGTGTGGGTGGGGGTCTGGTGGGGACTGGGTGGGGTCTGGTTGGGCAGGGGTGGGGGTCTGTGGGGGTCGGTTTGGGGGTCTGTGGGGTCCTGGGCGTGTTGTGGGAGGGGGTCTGGGTGGGGTGGGTGGGGGTGGGTCTGGTGTGGGTGGGTGGGGACTGGGGGGGGTTGGGGTGGGGGTCGGTGGGGTTGGTGGGGGTCTGGTGGGGTGGGTGGGGGTCTGTGGGGGGGTGGGTGGGGGTCTGTTGGGGTGGGGTTGGGGGTCTTGGTGGGGGTGGGGTGGGGGTCTGGTGGGGTGGGTGGAGGTCTGGTACGGGAGGGTGGGGATCTGTGGGGGGGGTAGGTGGGGGTCTGGTGGTGGGTGGGGTCTTGGTGGGGGGTGGGTGGGGTCTGGGTGGGCGTGGGAGGGGGCTGGTGGGGTGGGGGGTGGGGGTCTGGTGGGGTGGGTGGGGTCCTGGTTGTGGGTGGGTGGGGTCTTGGTGGGGGTGGGTGGGGAGTCTGGTGGGGTTGGGTGGGGTCTGTGGGGGGGGTCTGAGTGGGGGGGTGGGTCTGGTTGGGGTGGGGGGGTGGGTGGGGTCCTTTGCATGTGGGTGGGGTCTGTGCGGGTGGGGTTGGGTTGGGGTGGGTCTTGGTGGGGGGGGTGGGGGTCTGGTGGGGGTGGGTTGGGGGGTCAGGTTGTGGGTGGGTGGGGTCTGGTGCGGGTGGGTGGGGGGTGGGGTGGGGTCCTGTGGGGGTGGGGGAGGGGTGTGGGTGGCCTGGTTGCGGGTGGGTGGGGGTGGGTGGTGGTCTGGTGGGTGTGGTTGGGGGTCTGGTGGGGGTGGTGGGGTCTGGGGTGGGGGTGTGTGGGGTCTGGTGCGGGTGGTGGGGGTGGGGGTGGGTTCTGGTTGGGAAGAGGGAGGTGGGGTGGTGGTCTGGTCGGTGGGTGGGGGGTGGGTGGGGGTCTGGTGGAGGTTGGGTGGGGGTCAGGGTGGGTCTGGTGCGGTGGGTGGGGCGGTGGGTGGGGGGTATCTGGCAGGGGGGGGGGGGGGTCTGGTGGGGGTGGGGTGGGGGTGTCTGGTGCGGGTGGGTGAGGGTGGGTGGGGGTCTGGTGGGGGTGGGATGGGGGGGTCTGGTGCGTGGGTTTCCTTGTTTCAGGGTTCAGGTGGGTGGGTGGGGGTCTGGTTCGGGTGGTGGGGTGGTGGGGGTCTGGTGGGGGTGGGTGGGGGTCTGGTGCGGGTGGGTGAGGGGTGGGTGGGGGTCTGGTGGGGGTGGGTGGGGGTCTGGTGCGGGTGGGTGGGGGTCTGGTGGGGGTGGGTGGGGGTCTGGTGCGGGTGGGTGGGGGTGGGTGGGGGTCTGGTGGGATTGGGGGGGTTTGGTGCGGGTGGGTGGGGGTGGGTGGGGGTCTGGTGGGGGTGGGTGGGGGTCTGGTGCGGGTGGGTGGGGGTGGGTGGGGGTCTGGTGGGGGTGGGTGGGGGTCTGGTGGGGGTGGGTGGGGGTCTGGTGGGGGTGGGTGGGGGTCTGGTGGGGGTGGGTGGGGGTCTGGTGCGGGTGGGTGGGGGTGGGTGGGGGTCTGGTGGGGGTGGGTGGGGGTCTGGTGGGGGTGGGTGGGGGTCTGGTGGGGGTGGGTGGGGGTCTGGTGGGGGTGGGTGAAAAAATACAAGAACAGATGTTGAAAGAAGTAAAATAATTTTCAGAACAACTTACCAAAATATAAAATATAGGTTTATAATTCAAATATTAAATAAGGTTAATACATTATTCATATTCATTAACCTTATCTAATTCCTTGAAAATAATTTTTACTTCATTGAAATATTATATAAGGTTAAGAAGTTATTCTACATATTAACCTTATACAATTTTATGTAAAATATTTATTAATAAAAATAATGTTAATTTTCTTCTGCCTGTTTCATTTCTAAATTTCTTTTATGCTTATTTGTTTTAAAATGTTGCTTTTTTAAACATGGAGAAAAATAACAGTCACAAATATCACACTGAATTTTTATACTGTTCCATTTTCTATTACTTTCAAGTAATTTATTTCTATATTCATCATCTTCTTCATATCTTTTTCTTTGCTCCTCATTGTATCTATCTTTATGTTTAATTCGGTTATTCCTTTTGTTTTCTGAACATTGCCTGCATTGTTTATTATCTTTATTAAATTCGTCAAATAGTTTCATTCTACCACAGTTTCTACATAATTTTCCATTATCAGTTTTGAATGAACCGTTTTCCAAAATTCCTTCATACATTTTACCTTTAATTAAAACACAAATGTTTCCTTCCATAGTTCTTATAAAACAATGTCCTTAAACCTTTAAATACATTTTAAGAAATTCCTATAATCAATATTCCTTGAAACTAAATTCCCAAAATCCCAAAATATAAAATCCCCATAATTTCAAAACATAAATCTTACAATGTTTTTTATTGTAAGGTTTATGGTGTAATTTATAATTTAAGTTCAGGATAATAATTTAATTGACAAATCTCATTTATTTCATACATCATTTTAAAAATAATATTAATATCTCTCACTGTGTTTTTAACATTAAACTTTTTATAAATTTCAATATAATATTTGATATATTCTTTAATATCATCTCCTTTCTTTTGACTATGACACAACATCAATAATATATCATGAATCATTACATATTTTTTCTTACTGATTTTAAGAAACTGTTTAACATAAACGTAAGGTGGTAATTTATACACAGTTAAAAATATCAAAATGTCATCTTCTACATTTCTATTATGTCGTCCTTTTAATCTCAACAAACATTTGATTATAGCTTGGTTATCTCTCCAGGTTTTACAATTTTCGCATAAATCTTCTTCACCCAAAGCATAATCAATAATATTATTTATTATTCCATTAGGTAAATTTAATTTATACAATTCCATATTTTCCTTTTTAAAGTGGCAACAATCATAGCATTTCTTATTAATATACTTATTGATTTCAATACCGTTCATTTTCTCACTAATATATTAAGTCGCTATTTCCTTAAGTCATTTTCAAAGAATGAATATAAACTTAAATTATTAACAAAATATTACAAAACATAAATCTTACAATAAGAATTAAATTGTAAGGTTTATGGGTTAAAATAATGGTCAGGCAATATGTCTTCAAATATGTAATCTACATATTTATCTATATCATCAATGTCTATATATTTGATATTTTCTTTTCCTATTATTGAATAAATATATTCCCAAAAGAATAAATACAACAATAGACATACTTTATATTTAGTGTTGTAGTAATACCATATACTATATTCAGTTACTCTAAATCCGTTCAAGACTTCATTTATTTTATCTTTGTCTAATAAATGCCAGTCAATCCATTCAAACAAATAACGGTATTTTTTGACAAATGCTTTGTATGGTTTAATTGCGTTTATTCCTCCAAACCTCCTAATTAAATCTATATTATTAAAGAATTCATCAATTTCATGTTCAAATGACTTTATGGAAATCTTCTGGTAAAAGTGTATAGGAAATCTTGCTTGGTGTCGCATAAAGAATTTTAATTGTAATTGAAACTTTGTATATCCCTTATCCTTATGTTCTTCATCAAAAAACTTTTCAAGGTCTATTGTTATACAGCATTGATTGCAATATACATTATATTCACTTATTTTATTACATAGATTGTCGGGTAATAACTTATACAATGTTATATTAACATCATTCTTTATATTTTTACAGCATTCGCACTTGTTATAGTTAAACAACATTTCACTATAATATAATGAGTCATTATTTCCTTAAGTCATTTTTAACGAAGTACACGAGATATTTTTTGTTTTTGTATTTCTATAAGTCTTTCATATCCTCTGACCACTCCGTCAAAAGTAAACACATAATTTACGGAACTTTCACCTGCTAATTCACAAGTTTTTATTAATTCATTAAAATCTTTTTTCAACTGCGTCTCATCATGCTCTAATTCAAGGCATGATTTAAACCCTTCATAAAAGTATTTCTTGTTAGTTTTAAAGTATTTAACATCTAGCAAAGCATATTTATCTCTTTCATCTTCATAGTGTTCTTTTACCTTTCTCATTTCTTTTATTAATTCTATTCGTTCTTTGATCTCTGCGTGTATCTTCATTACTACATTAAGTCATCATCTCTTTAATTCTCCAGTGATGACTATGTCATCATATTATTCTATTTTCAATAGAATAATGACCATATGCTAAACTATCACCTGTATTAGTCCAGTATCTTTTATTTTCATAACTATTCAAACTAATCTTTGTTGTTCTAATACTATAAATTTTATGGTTTTTACTTCTAATACTATTGAATGATTTATGTATAACTTCATTAGTTTGTAAAACCTTATCATATTCTTTATATGTCAGTTGCCTCCTCACTATGTGCTTTGCTGTGCCCTTGCATTTCTTATGTTCTTT